CGGCCGGATAGATTCGTGCAACTTCTTAGTCTAATACCGATCCTAATCTTACTCTTATATCTACTAGTCTCAGGGTGTTTAACTAGTCTCTGCTAGGCTCAATAGATCTAGAGTATACTGGCTTATTGCGATTGCTAAAGTTCTCTTGGAGAGGTAACTAATTTCTAAGTTAAATTCAAATCTCTCTGGTGCTGAAATTACAACTAATTTCAGCACTTACAAATAAGTGGTTTGTTAGTTAGATGGATCGTGATTGGTTACTATTAAATATTTTATAGAGATAAAATATCCAATTTATAACCAATAATAAATATAGTTTATATCTGGTTCCAACCGTTTAAACTCACCTACAATTTTAAGCACACTTTTTCGTCGTATTTTTCACCAGACCCAAACATTGACCCGTTCTGAAAAAAACGCATTTAAATTTCAAGTTTATTCATTTTTTCAGGATAATTTATATCAACCGTATTAAAAAGAAATGGGCTGAATTCCATTTGGACAAACATTATAGCAAAAACTGGGGGAAAAGTGATTTCCAACTATTAACATTTGGTTCTTTTTCTTGCAAAATTGTAGCTGTTAAATTACATTCCAATCAATTTTAGGTCAATTGATATCCATTTTTCTCACTTTTTTTGTTTTCATTTGCATACGAACTTTGAGTAACAATAAAATAAATTTCAATCACTTATATAATTTTTGTATATTTTCTTGTAATTTTTTTATTACAGATTCTATACATATAATAGATTTAATTGAATTTAAATTTTTTCGACTATCAAATAAAAGTTTAATTAAAATTGAAAGGTATGCTTTGCATTTGACTTTTTGTGTATGTTTGACAAGAAATAAAACTAGTATAACTATTACTATGCCTCAAAAAGAATTATTGTAAATTGAGTTTTTTCACTATATTGCATTTACCTAACATAATTGCGCTTAGAACTTTGATAATGAAAAACACATTTGCAGAAAATTTGCATTTTTTATTTTTCAAACAGCGGAAATTCTCATGTTTATAATATCAAAAAATGTTTATCTTATAACTCTGCGGTAAAAAAAAACTCTCGAGTGACTCTTGTTCTCTGTAGCTCCGATGAAGATTTTTTAAACCAAACTACGCTCACGCTTCGAAACAAAAAGAACAACTAAACTGAATCATTTCATTGAGACTTTGATAGTTTTCACTGCCTTGCAATGCTAGCACTGTACGACAATAATTGACAGAAGAACAAAATTGCTAGAAAAAAAAACATATTTTCAAAGGAAAAATCCTAGTATATATCTTTGATTGAAAATTTAGTTAAAGACGCCATAGAACCAAGGAGCACTGCTTCAGATAAAAACTTCAGATAAAAAACTAAAAACTGGCACAAAGCGAAAAAATTGACAACAAAAGATGAAACACAGCTCTCAAAAAATTGAAATTAAAACTTTCAAACAAAAAAAGAATTGAAAGAAAATTTTGTTGGGTTCAACTATGAACTCAGAAGCGGCAAATCACCATTCAAAAGATTACAATGATATCCGGTTGCTGCGCAATTAGCACACATTGTTCTACCATATTCATAAAAACTATAAAGTAGAAACTATAAAGTAAAGTAATTCAATTTATTGAGTTCTTCAAATTATTGTCGTTTTTTTGTGCGTGATGTGATGAAAAAATTATACAAAAGCGTAAAAAAATAATAAATTAGGCATAATTGACAGTTTTGTCTTCAAAAAACGAACATAAACAAAAAAATTGAGAAAAAAGTTCGAAAACATTGAAAATTTTTGGTTTTTGCGATATTATTGTAAATATCTTTTTAAAAAATTTTTTTTGCTAAGGAAGTGCCAAGTATAGCTTTCAATTTAGTTTTTGATTGGGAAAACAATTTTTTTAAGCGTAAATGACTAATTTAACAAATTATCTTCACTTTTTTTGGTCAAAATTAGACAAAAAAAAAACAAGCAGTTTCAACCCAGTTTTTTTGACACTGAGAAATTTTTCATAAATTTTTTTAAAAAGTTATTTTACAACAAAAAGGGCTTCAAGATGATATAATACTCAACTGAGTTCAATGATTTATGGTACCTGATTTTGTGCTACCGGATTTAACCTGAAAAAAAACTTTGTAAAACCTGTAAAAATTAAAAAAAATTAATTGATTTTAAAACTTAAATGCCCTCAGCTGGTTTTTTTTTACCAGACACAAATTTCTCCACAGGTTTTTTAAAGAAAACTGTGAACCTTTTATACTAAATTAAGCATGCTAGCCCAATCTTGCACGCTAAATTTTTCCAGTAGCTGTGACTTCAAAATAGTAGCCTGAAGGGAGTTACATTATAAATCAGGTTCTCAATTTTATAGAACAATTGAAAGCAATCATAAAAGATACTACAACTATTGAAAAAAAGCTGACATTATGGAAAGAACTAGACACCTCATGCGTTGGGAGTTTTAAGGTTGGAAGAGCTCAAATGCACCATTTTGTCCCACTGGTGTTAATCAAATTGCATTTTTGTATAAGTTTCAATTTTTCCAAAATCATTTCAGACAAACTTATGCAGAACTTTGATTAGCTTCATTATAAAACAAATCAGTCCAAGAATTGGTCAAACTTTGCCAAAAGTTACGCAATCAAAAACTGTAAAAATGACTTTTAATTGAATCCCACATTGACCAAAAATGCTAGTCATACAATTTTCATAAATGGAAAAATGCTAATTAAGCACTTTTCATGCAATTTCATGAACACAGAAAATTGAATAAAAAAATGCATTGAAAAATGCTGATCGTACAATTTTCATTTAAGGAAAAATACTAATCACGCACTTTTCATGCAATTTCATGAACACAAAAAATTTAATGAAAGGTCTATGATTGGTGCTTTTTCATATATTGAAAAATTATGACTAGCATTTTTTCCTATATTAAAAAAATTGATTTTTCAAAAAAAGTTTTCTCAAAGTTTTTAGGAAATGTTTGCGACCAAACACAAGTGAGAAAAACCATGGTTTACTCAAAACTAGAGTCACTAAAGGTTTGAGCGTCTTGCATTTAAAATGCATTGAAAACTACCTGAATTATGTAAGAGTTTTCTTACAAAAATGATATACTGAAAGCGACAAACTTTTAAATTACCTCAAGTTACCTCGAGAAACGGGGAAAAATTCATGTAAAACTTTTTTTGAAAAGGTTCGTTCGAGTACAAAGTTCGATTTGCGGTTGAAAAAAGCCTTGGGGCAATTTCAAAATTATTTTTCGCCATCAAAAAAACGCTAGTCAAACATTTTCTTTACATAGAAATTGTATGATTAGCATTTTTTGATATATTTTTTCAATAAATACGACGCATCGAATTTTATGCCAAAACAAGAAAAAAGTTCTTCGAAAATTAACAAAACGTATGAAATTTGTATGAGTTGTACTTTTTTCATAGAATTAGTTTATAGAATTGTATGATTAGCATGTTTGGTCTATGGAGTCAACCCGGGATTATGTTTTATCATAATTAGTAAGCAAGGTGGTTAGCGGAAACAATAATTGCTATTTTTCTGAAATTTTTTTCAAAACATTACGAGGCCAAACTGTGCAATTTGTGAATTGAAGGGGATTCCACAACCAGAACGCTTCCTTAGTTTATCTTATGATCTGCCGTTTTTTTATTGTTTCGACAAGTGTTAAAACTTTTTGTCTAGTGCCCACTTTGGCCTCGTAATCAAAAACTTCAAGAAACAAACCTTACATTTTTAACATCTCTGGAGTCAAAAGAAGTGATATGTTAGCTCTTTTTGAGCTAAAAACTGCTTTCAAACAATTCTAGTTTCTAACAAAAAGTCATAAATTTTCAAAGCAAAGAACAGAATTGCCCAAAATTTTATCTTGTATTGGAAGTGGAAAAAGTTTTTAAGCTCAAAATACATCTGGAAATTATTAACTTGTTTTTTTTTCTCGAAAAAGTTTCTTACGACCCACCCATCAAAATGCAATACACAAAAGTACAGAAATATTTATACTTTTTCAAAGTTACGCATTGAACGTTTTTACTGAGGCGATATATCATAAACCGAAATTGTTAATATGAAAGAGAAAATGACATTATTTCACTCAGATTGGGTACTTTTACAAATTACAGAACTCTCAATTATACTAAAAACAGTTTCAATTAAAATAAAACAAATGTTTTTTGAAAGTAAGTTATTATTTGACCATTCTGTGAACAAAGTTGCTTACGGAGGAAAAGGTCTGTAACCCGGTTGCAACTCCATTGCTGCTCACAAGGATAATTAGTAGCAATCGCTTGAAGCACAAAATAAGTACATGCTTTAGAATGTAAGCCGACAAACCCCCATCTAGATGATATGGCTGGTTATTCCAAAAAAAATATGAAAACCAAAGTTATGAAAACCACAAACCCGAAAAAGTTTAGGTGAAAACATTTTTAGCCAATATCGCTCAGGTGGTTTTATTTGAATTATCAAGAAATTGGGCAAGTCAGCTAGCATTTGAGCGTGACAGCTACTGAACGTATTTCTTACACCTTTTTTAAAACTGTCTACGGAGTAAGACGACTTCAATTCGTTTCTGTAAAATTGTTGTTGTGAACCTGAACTCTCGTAGCAACTTCCGATGCGTCAAGTTCAAATTAAGTCAAACTGGCCAAAAACGTCTTATACTTTATCGCGATATGACTTCAAAGCTTTCAACTTATTAAACAAGGTTCCATGCAGCTAAAACATGTCCGTTTGTTGAGTCTGAAAAACCAAATTAGGCGAAACTTTTGTTTCTAGGGAAACGTTTTTCGGGACATTTTTTTCATGAACCATCCTCAACCTTGGTCAGGTAGGTGACCTTCAGAATTATTTATCGCTATCGCAAAATCTTTTCACTGGCTTTCGGTAGATAATACGGCTCAACGAGTTTTTTCGAGCTAAGGGCTGTAAGATTGCTCTCTAAAAGAGCCGTCTTGATTGACCAATAGTATCCTGACAAGTGTCTCTTCTTAGAGAAATTGATTGAAAACTTAAATTGCAAACTAAAGCATCAATTACAGATAGCATGCAAGATAAATCGCCAATAAATTTATTATATGTCAATCACTTCAAACTCAGAAATTATCGGGTTTAGTTTTGGTAATTATCTAGCATCTTAATTTGGTTATTTAATTGTTAGTAATTAATAATTTTGAATTAATTTATGTTGACAATAATATTTAGAATGTTTTATTTTAAATTAACATTTAAGTTTAGATGTTGCTTTCTTTTCTCTTTATAGCACAGATTATTGTTTAAAAACTCAGGCAACGCAATCGAGTCTTTCAACTTGATTTTTTTTATCAATGTTTTGGTCATACTCATTTTTGTTCATAAATTTCCCTTCATAAAGGAATTGTTCGCGTCTTAATTTAATATCTTGTCATCAGTAAGTTCAGGTGGAAGTCATGACACTTGTTTGTTTTCAAGTTCCGATGACGAGGAAGGGCGATCCAGGGACGTGTTCGTTGTTCCATTTCACAACCAGTACGTGGTCTCCCGGCTGGGCGGGGCGAAAGCGCACGTCGTAGCGACAGTTGCCCAAGTGTTTCACTAGAATCTCATCCGCCGGCAGAGTCGGTCCACGACAGCCAATCAGCAACATCGACTCACCTGTAGTAGCAAAATCGGATTTACTTCATTGCAGTTAAAAACTAATTTTCACGGAGGAGCAAAAATGGCATTTTATCATTCCAAGCAATAGGCTTTCCAATCTCTTTCCAAAGGCCGAGGGGCATTTAATTGCTTTGTAAGTTGCGTAAAAAAGCGTTCAATGAGAATGACCGATTGCAGCAATCTCGAAAATACGTCTGTTGGCCTAACTTATATCAAGCTCGCACCCTCAATGCTGGATTCATATGATGACAACGCGTTTTGTGTCTCTATTCGTTCAATTTTTAGCACAAACCTGCATTGGAGGCGTCCACTTGGAAACTGTTCATGATGCTGCACTGGGCCCTCTTCAGAGCGGGACCCCGACACACCACCTGGGCGGCGTCTGCGGCCGATGTCTTCTCGGCTACTTTGCAGATGGCGGCGTTATCACTGAAGTTATATCTGGTCTTTGCCACCGTGTCTACTGTGACTACTTCTTGCTGCATTATGTACTCCTCGGCAGCATAGCCAGGCAGGGTAGGTCCTAAGTTTAACGTTTAACTTAAAATTAACCTGTAAGATTACGATCTAAACAATATATAAGCCTGAAAACAATTTATCATTTGTTCAACTCAAAAATGATGCATTTTCACTCAATCTGACTTGAAGTTATTATGTTTAATCAGTGAAAGATAGTTAACTAACCAGTGACGCTGGCCTTGAATGGGGATCCGTAGATGTGGTATGGTCCTGCATACTTGATCGTGATGACATATTCTCCCGGCACGTGTGGAGTGTACCTGGAAAAGTTTATAAATCCCTCTTCAAAACTGTCCGCACTCTTGGAATGGCTGCTCCTTAGAATTCGCAACCAACAGAAACGAGCTCAAAATTTAAAGTTATACCACTAAATATCATTTAGATTCAAGTTAATAATCTTTCCATAAAAATGGACTTTCTGCTCAAGTTAAGACTTTTAAATGAAAGTACGGGCAAAAATTAATATTCAGTTAAGTTAAAAATTTAAGTTAAAAATCAATGAAAAAGCAGAAAAATGGTAAAGCTTATGAGATTTTTTTTTTGAATAAATCATGGATAACTCAGCGCTGTTTAAGGCTAAAATATGAGAGCCTACATGAGAGCCTACATCGTCAATGAGTATCGCTAAGTTTCCATTGATCAGCAGCAAAGAGACTATTGGAGAGACTTGAACCCAAGATGATTGAGAGTGACGCCGCATATAAAATACAAGTCATGCAGCATATACTTTGTGGTAATTTGTAGCAAAAAAGTTCGAATTTACGTATACGCATCTAAAATCAAAGCTCAACCGAGATGAAAACTCAGAAACTTTTCTTAATTGCCCCCTGAAAAGAGTAGTACATTATGACTTAAGTATAGATTTCGTAATGTAAAGCCACCCGATTTGGTGTATGTCCTACCTGACAGAGTATCCCTCCTCCACTTCCTTGCAGTCCATAGTGACCCTCGAGGGTCCGTCCACAGTTACTTGAAGAGTACCCTTGCCCGCATTGCACGTGTTTACCACAAAGTCACACGACTTGCCTGAAATTAGTTTAAGTGTTCATAGCACTCGAAACAAAAAAAACGAATGCTTTAACCAATCAAATCAAATGTCATACAACCAGCTCGATCACTGACGAGTTATCTAACGTACAAATAGAAAACTTGATATTCTCACTGAAAATCTCTTCTCCCTATTCTGAAAATGACTCCCTGAAAATCGCTATAGTAGTTCCTAAATTCTCGCGAGGATAACTTGGTTAAAAACTATATAGTTTGATTTTTATTCATCACTCCATTGGAAGTATCAATAACCCTCTGGGATCAATGACACTGTTACAAGAGTGAATCAAAGAATTCCTTCAAAGCCTCCTTGTTTGAAATCCTATTCCCAGTTTAAGAAGTTAGGAGGCTATACTTTGGAACAGGCGCGGATCTAGCGTCCGCCCCCTCTAGATCTGCTACTGCTCTAGACCACGATGTGCTGGAATACTGTAACCCACTATTACCGACCTGTCTCTCCCTGGTAGAGTCCGGGTCCATCCGCAAACACTCTAGTCGCATCTCCCCTCGCAGCCCCCACTTTGAAGAGGAATGGACTGCCGGGCACATGTGCACCCCACACGTACACGTCCACTCTGTGGTCTCCGTTCTCGACCGGGATGAACTTGATCGAGTAGTTGCCTGGAATTTTACCCATATAGGAAAAACGATCTTAAAAAACTTTTACAATTAACGTTTTTTCCGTGTTGAAATTCCGTATTAGCAACAATTAAATTTAAAGTCATGCGAATTCTTTTGCGTAGTGAATGAAACTGAACCATGAAAAATTTCGATCATTCAAACCGTTATTTTTTCAAATTAAGGCTTTTATTCGAAATCGATCCATACTCAAAGCGTGAGAAGGCATGATAGTTAGGTTAAGCTGCTTGCTCAGAAATTTATCATAAAAAAGTTCTTCTCATCGAGTTTTGAAAGCCTCTTACAAGCAAATAATAAATTGAGGTTTGGTTGATCGATGGTTAGGCTACCTTGGTTGTCGATCTTTTGCACCTCGCAGGGAACTTCTCTTCCAGAAGGACAGATGAGACGTGCCTCGATCTCCCTCGCATTGTGCACGTTCGGCAGAGTGATCACGAAAGAAGCGGGCTCCTCTGGTGCAAATCCTGAAACATAGAAATTTTATTTTTCAGGTAATACTCTCAGGTACGAAAGTTTGCAGTCACGAATCGATTGGAGCGCGCGAGTACAACTGCCCAGCCGCTTAATGTAATAATTTTTAAATGAGTTCACTGTACTTGGGAGTGGTGCTATGGTGCTATGGTGCGCTTCGGTATCAACTCGGGTAAACTCGGAAATAGTTCAATTAAGAAAACATGCTCAAACCGTTTAAGATTTCAAACAAGGATAGCCGGTTACTGCGCAAGTAGCACAGATTTTTTTGATCATTGTCTTATAAAATACAGCAAATTTTTTTCCAAATAAACGTGGCAAGAAATTAGTCGTTTTTTCGACGTGGTGTGTTAAAAGGTAGAATTGGTTTTGCAGAAAAATGACTAAAAAAATCAAATGAAAAAATTATGGGGCAAAAGCCAATTAAAAAAGGCTATTGCAAGCCTGCTCCCTCACTTTATTTGCTCGAGTTTGGACAAAAAAATCAAAAAGTGCAAACCAGCTTTAATGTGATATCTATCTCTGTTGCAGCGCAAATGTAAGCTAGAGTATAAATGCATATAAATGAAAAATGGACATTTAGAATGCAGCATGCAGGTATGCTCCAATTACATAAAACGCTTTTTTCATGTTTTAAAAAATACAAAAAACGCAAACACAAAACGCTTTTTTCAAGTTCTACAAAAAATACATAAAACGCATAAAACGCTTTTTTCACGTTTTTTTTTTTCAATCAAGCATTGTTTTTTGCGAGTTGTGTCATAAAAAGATCTGACAAATACCAAAAACTTAGGCATATTTGACGGTCATAGTCAAAAAAGGCAAATCGAGTAACGCTTTTAGTCAAAAAAGACAAAAAAACTTAAATTCAAAAAAAAATCTTATTCGAGTAACGCTTTTAGTCAAAAAAGACAAAAAAACTTAAATTCAAAAAAAAATCTTATTCGAGTAACGCTTTTAGTCAAAAAAGACAAAAAAACTTAAATTCAAAAAAAAACAATTATTCGTTTTTTTTGTAGGAATTGTTTTGAAATTTTAAGTTTTTATTCCAAAGATGGCACTCAAGAAATTTCAAATATTAATTTTACTAGAGTTCAGCTAAGGTTTTATGGCTTATTCTTTTATAATGAGCCTGCTCGCTTGCTTTCCTCGCTCGAAAATCTACTAAAACCCAAAATTTTGATTTGAAAACCTGATTTTGCGTGGAAACAAAAAGAAGGAAAAAAACTAAAGCACACCCGAATGCAATAATCCTCCCCATTTTCAATGGTCGGAACAAAAATATATGGCGTTAATGAGTGAACTTCACGGAGATCTTTCGATTGACTTTTTAGATAAAACTCATATGTGCTTTTGTGATTGAAGAGCGTAACTTGCCTTCTTTTTAGCATATGAACATAATCTGAACTCAAAATGAAATCCAAATAAAAAACCGCAAATTTTTAGACAAAAACAGCAATATCTAAATTAATGATTTCACTTTGTTCGTAGGGACTTAGTTCGCTAATATCAATAATTACAATGCATGAGTTGTGCTGACCTGTGTCTGGCTGGGGGAAGACTGACTGAGATCCAGGCACCACCTGTACTCGGAAGGGGGAGTCGGGGATGTGCTGGTCATTGAACTTCACATTCACCTGGTATTCCCCTGACAAACATCAACAAAAACACTATCACAATTCTACTTGAAATAAATTTAGGCGTTGAACACATTGACAGATAAGTTAAAACAAATCTAACATTTTGACAATCATAAACAGTGGCATTTGTTGGGACTTGAAATTGATCTTTTAGTAAGTTTTCAAGGTCCAGTTAAACTGTCCAGACTTCTCATTTTGAAATGAAATCATGGCGACTCACCGGGTAGCGTGGGGTAGAATAGTATGTTGCAACTGCCGTCCTTGTTGTCCTCTAGTTCGATGTCAGTCTTGGCGGGACCCTCCACTGCCACCGAGAGGGATCCGGCGCCTGCCTCCCGAGTCAAAATCACAAACTCCGCCGGCTGGTTCACTTCTCCAAACTGCAGACCAGGCCCGTATGCCTTCACAGCACTCGCGCCCTGCGAACAAAAACAATTGCAAACTTTTGCTCGTATAGTAACAGTCATCTTCAAGTGTGAGCTTTATTGGATAACCGTTCTGCCAACGACAAATCTTTACTGTCATTTCATATTCATTCATCAATACACATGCGCATTGAATTGAAGTCTTTTTCATTATAAAAAATTAAAGTTTTCCCTGAGCTTTAGTGCAGTATTGTAAATAATCATAACTGTCATGAAGAATCGATTTTATCATATTTCAGAAAAACAAGAACTGAACAATTTCTGTGGATTGATTTATCTCCGGGCTGGCGTTCAAAGAGCCACAAGATGAATTTGCCGAAACAGCCAAGCGTATTAGGTTGGCGAAAATTGAACTTTCAATTGATTATTGATTCATAATTTTTTTTTGTAATATGATGATCCTAGTTTTCTATTTACGCAAGCAATATCGCGTCTTCTATGACAAAAATTAGGTGCGTTTTCACGCAATTTCACGCTAACTTCGGCTTTGTCGGGCCTTCTGAAAAGCTACATGCTATTGTTGTGAGCCTGGCGTAGAAATTTTGCCAGAAATAACAAAACAACAATCAACAAAATATATGCCCAAAACATAATTTTTTATTTGTACTGCGTCCTTCTCGTCAAAATTAAAAAAACTTGCGAGTTTTTTTAAAATAAAACATGACGCGTCGGTACCTGGTCATCCATGGGTCCGACTGTGAACTGGAAGGGGGAGCCCTGTACCTCCCTGTCTAGATGGAACACGTGCACCTGGTGAATGCCGTACTCCGAAGGAGTGAACGACACATGGAACTTATTACGACTGTCAGACCCAACAGTTGCCGGCTCCTGCTTGCCAGATGGACTGATCACCTAAAACACGCACGCAACAGCGCATTACGACTAGCTCGCCCTACCGATGGAAGCGTCGGAGACCACGAAGCAGTGAAAGAGACAACTAAGAAATATTTAACTTGAGAAGTCTGACGTATTTAAAAACAAAAAAAATGTCTTGCTTGCAGGGGTGGATTTAGGGGGAGGGAAATGTGGCAGACGCTCCCCCCCCCCCCCCTCAGGGACGACCCCCTGCCGCCCCAAAGGGCCCCCTTTGGTACTTTGTAAGAAATCCATTTTTGGCCGACCAACCCTAAAATTTTTCTTAAGGCGCCTTTGGCGCCAATATATACTAACTTTGAGGGGGAGCGCGCGTCTAAAGTTTCCAAAAAGTGCCCAAAAACAAAAAACTGCTTTTTGACCTGTTTTTTCAAAAATATTTGCCTGCCGCGCGGAAAATTTGCCCAAAACAGCGTCTTTTTAGTGCTTTAGGAGAGCTCGGAAAATCAATTTGGTCGACCTAAAAAAAAGGTCGTCAAAATTTTCGACAATTTTTTGAAAATCCGCACCCCCCCCCCCCACCCCTAGAGAAAATCCTAGATCCGACCCTACTTGTTTGTAACATAAATAATTTCATTCGTATTAGCCAAGATTTTCATCAAAAATAATTTAGCTAGTTTCATATATCACGTTTTTTTTTCACGATTAAACATGATTATAATTGAAGGAAAAAATCAATTTATACCAATCCGAGCTTTATCAAGTGTGAAGCCCACCTGTGCTCGCATGTCCTCTGGATTGGCCCCTGGAAGAGTGAGTGACAGTTCGCAGCTGTTGCCTACATCAGCCAGCTGGCTGTTGCTCTTCCTAGTCTTGGATGTCTTCTCAGTGTACCTCAGATCTCCCATCTCGCCAGTGACGACGACGCTGAAGGGGCTGCCGGGCACGTGTCTCTCTCCGTACTTGATGTTGAGCGTGTACTCGCCAGGCTCCGTCGGCATATAGCTCACTTCGCAGTAGCCGTTCTCAGTATCTGTGCAGTCTAGATTGGCTTGACTGGGACCCTCCATCGACAGAGACAAGTTGGAGTATCCTAATATAAAATTTCTAACTCGCATGACAACATTCTGAAAAATTTCTGAACTTTAGCTTTGAAGTTAAAGGATGCATCGTTTAAAATTTGATGCTCTGATGCGTTCTGTTATCAATTCTGATATTGAAAAGTGGTCGGTCGTTATTCAAACCTTTTTTTAATACAAAATAAAAATCTGGAATTCTAATGAGAAATAAAGTCGCATCTTCATTCATCAACGCACATCGCATAAGGAGAACGAGTAAACAAACCTGCGTCTGACATGTCGATGTTGAACTTTGCCTTGTGGTTGGCCACAGCACGGGTGGTGCCTGGACCCCACACTCGCACCCTTGACGCGTCTCCTATCTCGGCCGGACTGACATTGATGCGGAAGGGACTGTTGGGGATGTGAGATCCCTGCTTGTACACATTCACCAGGTGTTCCCCTACCTCCTTCGGGGTGAACGAAACTCCTGCAACATATCACAAAAGAGTTGTTTCCGCTCCAAAAATATATATTCTCACTTAAGTATTCGCACTTTGAAATGGTATTATAGACAGGGGAAACTAATCAAAAAACGCGCCGAGCCAAAACAAGTTTATATTTTGAGATTGCTCTTTCAGATTGTCGTTTTTCTAACCGATGCTTCCGTTCGGCATTCTCATCAGCTTGCATGGCTCCTCGGGACCATTTGCAGTCTTGATGGTCGATGTCAGAACTGAGATGTCTGGCTCCGAGATCTTCAATGTCACCTTGCTCTCGGATCCCATTGGGATGAAAGCCTGCTTTGAGGGTGCGAATGGGTCAATGACCTTGGAGGTGAAGGGTGACCCATAGACTGGTTTTCCATCGAAGAAGATTTCTACTACATACTCCCCGGGTGCCGTGGGAGTGAACTGACACGTGCATGTTCCGTCTCCATTATCTTCGCAATTGACTTCAACTCGCGATGGTCCTTGCACGGATACCTTCAAACCACCTAAAAAAAATTAATACAATTTTCACGAAATTAAAAACTTCATAACGAAAACCAAACCGCAAATGTAAAAGCGAAGAGAATATAAGTTAGGTATTATCTGTGAAAGCAAAATCTTAAGACTGATTCGAAGAAAACCATAGAAATGTTAGAAAAAATTTTCTCGCAACAATTCATTTCTATTACTGGCCATTTTTCTTCAATGGAAACAAATCAAGAACACCTGCAAACGTAAGTGAAAGGCTAAAGCATGATAAATGAGAAACTAAAAGATTGAGTAAAAATAACACAAGCTGAAAAGTTAGATGAGAAGTTGGTTTTTTGTCTTATCACGTGACCTACCTCCTGCAAGCACAATTTTACAAGAAAGTTAACTTTGGAAATAACGTCGTTTCAAAAGAAACAAAAAATTAATTTTGAAATAAGCAAAACTTGATTTTCGTTCTTTTAATTTTCTTGCGGTTCCACATTATTTTGTCGCGAAAATTTTGATAATATCAGGCTTTAAAAAGTCATCTAAGTTATTCGTTAGCACGCCATTTCTCGATACGAAAATTTGAAAAACAAAGCTTTGGTGTCTTGACAAATTAGTTGTTATGATTGGTCCCACTATCTCTATATTTTGACGAGAAAGCAGAAACATTGAGTCTGTGACTCGAACCTTCAAAATTAAGGTACTTGCACACACGCGTTTTTTACCAAACCTTCCAAGGCGTAAGTTAAAACGTCGTTTTTGGCGTGTTTTGACATCTTTTAACAAACCGTAAGTGCTTTGCCATATGTTTTGAACAATTTCGAGCCGTTGTTTTTCGAATAATTGCCCTATTTTTTCATTGTTTGGAAGGTACCTATTGATCCATTGGCCCCTTAAATTCCTGAAAAGTTTCTATTCATAACAATTAGGACTTGGTATTAGCTATGAAAAGAGGAAACACAAACGAAAAAAAAAATCAAATTCAAAGCTTTATCAACTAATAATTTTTCCAAAAATATCCGTAACAAGTAAAATGGCAGTCGAAAGATTCAAAGTTTTGTCCTGGTACCACTTTTCTTGCTACTTTCTGCGCTCCAATGCGCAAATCTCAAAAAATGACATAAATACGCCTATCTCGGCTATTTTGGTGGTGGTTTGGGAAATCGGAAACTGGCGCGGACACTTCTGTTCTGTAATGGAAAGCAGAAATGAAACAGCTCAAAAGTGATCGACTGGATCTAAATACGATTCTGAATATCAAACTTCAATCACTAAATGTCGCGCTCTTAAATTATATTAGGCCGAAAAAAACCACCAATTTGCCGCACGACCTAAATGACGCTTTGCATTTTTTGATACCTTCTGTGATATAACTGACGTTTAGATGATCATTTAAGTTTAATTGATGATTTTTCACACCACTTCATACACAGAGGTGAAACTACTCGGCAAAAACCGCAGATAAGTGAAGTGAAAAACATACAAAAGTATGCCATCATACAATACTTAGACAAAGAGAATCGAATGTACCTTTGGTTTGAAAAAATTTCCCGTAAACTTGCATTCTGATACCTGATTTTTCGCGCAGAAAAATTTAAAAAACCATCCAGAAAGAAAGGAAAAAATGGCTCCAATAGTGGAAACTTCAAAAGAGTAGTTTTTTCACTTTCTATTTGATCACTTAAAATTGTAACCAAACGATCGGAAAAGAAAAAGTTGGGGGCAACATCAACATCGATTTAGTCGTGAATGAATAAATTAATGATTAATTTTCACACCTGGTCCCTTGGCTTGTTTGGTTGAGACGGTGAAGAAGCAAGGCTGGTCCACAAGTCCAGCAGTCAGTCCCGGACCATAGGCCGACACTTTGCCCTCCCTTATCTGATCAACGTTGAAGAAGAACGGGTTGTCTGAAAAGAAGCACATACTCATTACAGCTCTTTTACTCTTTTAAATGTCCCAGAACGAAACCTAGTGCGATGCAAAAAAAAACAGCTGGCACAGGGCGAATGGGCGTTTTTCAAAATTAGCAATACAGAGAAGGAAAAAAATAAAACTGAAAAAAGTTAGTAATTTAAATATATAAAAGTTATAATATATATCCTGAACATTGTGAATATACAAGTTGTATTGCAATCAAAAAATCCGAATCAGTCCAAATTCGAAAAAAAATCATAAAGAAGATAGCTACTAAACGGTCATCTTCAAAATCGACCGTGTTTCTTCACAACATTATAGACCAGAAATCAACAGCGTGTGCAAGTCACTGACCAAAAATGTATTGAGCATTAATTGTTAAAAACATATTTAGAAACGAGCAGGGAAAATGAAAAAGATGAACAAAAAATGCGTCATTTAGTTAGTTGAACTAACTCTAATTTCGGATTTTATCAGTAAATTAACAATTATTAAACCGCTACCCATTTTTCTGATTGAAACGGGCAGTGGAAACATGGTGACAAGAAAAAACTAGTGACTGGATAGACGGGATAATTAACTTGAGAAATTGATTTTTTGTTTTGTTTAAAGTCAGGTTTCTCCTTTATCAAAATGTTCACTTCTCTGACCTTATAGTTTAGAGTTATTAAATCATAAGCGTTAATGGGGTTCTGGAAACATGAGATTTGACTTTGTGAAATGCAAAAACTTTTTCTAGCAAAAGCAGTTCGTGGTCGCTAAAGAATGGAAGATTCCCAAAACCGGACTTCTCGATTGAACAATTAACCTAAAAATTGGCACGGTAGTTTTCGAGTAAGCCAAACAGTTTCCGGAACACTGTTAAATGAAGGTCAAAATTTTTTTCAAAAAGTAATTGGGCGTAGCCAATTATTTAAATATACTTTCAAAATTTGTTGTTTCGATTAAACGTATGATATCAGATTTGGCAGGACAGTTAACAAAAAAAATCAAAAACGGTCAATAAATCAAAAATTTGACATTTCACAGAGTCATAGCTGCTTTTATGCATCAAAACTTCTAATTTCTATTGAGCACAAAAACTCAGATATGTGAACGTAGTGTAGTTATCACAAAAAAAGTTTCAAAAAACGGTTAAAAACAAAATTTTGTGTAGAGAAATTTGGAACTACTCGTCTATGCAAAGGCTCTTTCTACAACCCTTTCTTAAGACTTAGCATAAAATATCAAATATGGTAGGGTAGTTTTCGAGAATATACGGGCACCATAAGCTTTCGTGTTAAAGGATTTGAGCGTAGCCACCTAAGCAGGGGAACTTTCCAACACGTGTTTTATTCACTGAAACCAAATGCCAGATCTAGGAGGGTAGTTTTTTGGGGAAAATGTCGGTCAAATAGTCCCCCGCAGACTTTTTCCAAGGCTGTCGATATAAGGGTGGAGAAAAACGAGACTAGGGAAAGTTGCAAACACATATGGGAGTAGGCAGTTTATCACTGATACCCCGGTTTTTGAAAATCAAGAGATTGTTCTTGAGAAAACTTTTAAGCTAACAAAGCTTGCTCGTCGAGCTTCCCGGATAAACCCATTCGCTTCATCGTGAAATGAAGCTTCCATAAAAATAAAAAAAAATTCTCAATGAAAAACAATAAAAATCCCAATCCCATACATCTTCGGTTTATCTGTTTTATCAAATAGAAATTCTCGGCAAACAAGCTAAGCGAAACATTTAAACTTTAAATTAGCAACGGAAAAGAAGTTCGAGTCGGAAACGAAGCCGACAATTTTTGAGTAGACACCGGTTGAACCGTAAAAAAATTGGTTTTCTAATTTTTTTTTTTAAGTTTGAAGTCCCATTGAAACTACAAAAAACTTGATACCATGATACTTGCTTACAGCACAAAAATTCCGTGATGTGGCATTTAAGCCGACAAACTTTGAGCAGAAAACGAAAGTTCAAAAAATATTTTTATTCCGGAAATTTTTTTTCAAGGAAAATTTCTTTTCAATTGCCGCAGACAAATTAAAAAAACAAGGTCCAGCCGGAATTCAAATACCAGACCGTAGGATGCAAAGGCGTCCGCCTTACCTCTAGAAGTTGTAAGATTCAATAAAATAGCAAGTTGAAAATTTGCAAAAAAAATTAATTCGGGAAAAAATGTAAATCTAGTTCCCGATTACCATACATTTGCTTTTGCAAGTGTCAATATATTGTATTGATTAGCAATTTTTGTTATAAAAATCAAAAAGAATTGAAAGTCATCAAATTGAAACATTAACTTGCAACATGAATTAAAAATGGTTCCGAAATTGGCATTTTTACTTTGGTTTCTAAAAAAACGTTTCGCGGATTTTTCTAGTTATTAAAATACACATTTATTATGAAAACCCGATAAAACCCAAAAATGAATGATTTATTTCGATCCATAAACTTGAACGCTTAGAAATAAGTCTATGAGAAAGCTTTTGAAGTCGATAGCAGTAACTATCGAGATTAAATTTGAGCAAACATCAATCATGATCATCTCGGCTGCGCATAGAATTTTCATAATGATGAAGTTCGGAGATGTGGACAAAAAGTAACATGATACATCTTCGTACCCATCTGCAAATAAGTATAAATCATTGAGGACTGTAAATAATTGAAAGCTAATTCACTCTTTAAGGTAAATAAACCGAAAAAAATATCTTATCGTGATTTACAAATACAATAAATAATTTCAATCAACTTCCACACAGAGACTTTGAATCAACTTCCACTCATAGAGATGAAGCGAAGCTTTTCACCATTTGTGATGCTGCACAACAAATATATCATGGCAAGCTAGCCGACAGAAAATAAGACGAAAGCCACTAATTTCGGAAACTTATTTTGCAATAGTGCCGAAAAAATTTAATCAAACGAAAAACAATTATTATACTAGTCACTATTACTGGAAAAACGAATAGTTTAAGCATAAATTGAATAACTTTAATCAATTCATATTTTTGATACAAAAAAACTTGATCAAATTACACAATTAAAGTTTGATTTATTAATTTTTGAAGCCCGTTTAAACAAAAAGTTGTCTGTTGTTCTGCTCTTGGACCATTCATCTCATTGACTGGCCACCGACAAAAGTGTTCGCTTAAAAGCTTAATAAAAAATGACAAATGGTTTGGTGATTCAATAAACCAATATGTTTGTATACAAAAACTCTTATGTTCCGATTTGACAACATTCCCTACCCGGATTGACAAAAAATGCTTGTAGTACAATTTTCATTTATGAAAAAAAGGCTTATCGTACATTTCTATACAATTTCATTGAATATAAAAACTGAACGAAAACAGCGCGATAAGCATAGTTTCCATTAATAAAATTGCATAACTCGCATTTTTTTAATTAATGGAATTGTACGACTAGCATTTTTCTCAAGTCCATCAATCTTTGATATCTTTGAAAAACTTTGAAGAATCTTTTTAAAATGATTTTAGAAAATTTTGGCTGTTTTGGATTTCAAAATAATTTTGGCCTTCCAATTGAAGATTTCTTGAAACAAAACTGAAATTTTCTAGAACTCTCGGTGGAAAAAATAAAATTTTGATTCCTATTTAAATGAAAACTATACGTAATTCAATTTAAAATACCTTAAAAAATATCTTGACTTTTTTAACAACTTTTCTTTCGGTTCAAACAATGCTTTCTACAAAAATTCCATAAATAGAAATTGTATGATAAGCGTTTTTTCTACAGAAGACTCCGTGTATGGAAAAATAGGATAAGCTTTTTCAGTGAACCCAGAGGTCTATGAAGGTCAAGTGTAATAAATTTTAAAAAAACAAGGATAGCAGGTTAGTGTGCAAGCAAGTGGCTCAGAATGTTCCGACCATAGTCTTAGAAAACTACAACAAAATTTTTCCAAATTATTGTCGTTTTTTTTCCGACCTGGTGCGATAAAAGGAGCTGAGCAATTGTATTATCGAGAATCATTGTAAAATAAGCAAAATAAAAAACAATTTTTTTTAGAAAAATTTATTGAAAAATGAAAAAAAAAACGCATAGTTTTTCAAGTTTTGCAGTTTTTTGAATTGCAGAAAATTTTGATTCTAAAAAGGCGCTAAAATACTAGAAGTAAACTAACGTTACTCAAGTAAACTAAGTCTTAACATTTTAAATTAAGCTATTGAAAGCTTTTAAACAGTTCAAATAAGACTGCTCGCTCGCTTCGTTCGCTCGAAACAAAACGAAAAATCAAAAATTTTGAACCGGTTTTTCTCGACACGGGGAAAAAAATTTGAAATTTTTAATGTGATTCGAATCACGACAGTAGGGGCTTTGATATATCACTCAACCCAGTCTGATGATTATTTGTGGTACCTGATTTTGTGTGGAAAACGAAAAAAAGTTAAAACCCCCGAATACAAAGTTCCTCCCCATTTTCAATGGTTGGAACAACTATACATTTTAAATTTAACCATGCTTAAAACCTTAAGCTAACGTTTTTGAAACAAACTTATTTTTTTTATCTCAATGGACGTTGATTTCAAACTTTGCAAAAGATATTAATTTGAATCTTAAACTTTCATTTTACATGAAAGTTCCTTAGAAAAATTTGAAAATCATAAATAAAAAAACCTGTTTGGTTTTCAATTGTTTGAAAATAAAAAACTTACTTCAGAATTTGATGTTTAAATTAAATAATTTACGATGGTGACAGCAAGCTTAAATGTTGCTGACTAAGAAAGATGTTTACAGGAAGAAGTCTAGTTTCAAGCTGTAAGGCAATTGATTTAGTAAGTGTAAGCATCATCTGCTGAAGTTTAAACAAGTATTCTTATGTTATTGAGAACGTGTTTTAACTCACCTTTAGCGTCTTTTCCTTTCTGTTTCAAATTCAGCAAATGTTTTCCCAGCTCAGAGGGCTTGTACTGGACAGACACTGTGCCGTCGTGGTTATCAACAATCTTAGGCACTGCTTTTCTTCTAGACGGGGTGATGACCTCACCAGTAACAGGGGTTCCAGGTGCCGCTTCTCCGTCCGTTGGAACGACTAGATCGCAAGGAGTCATTTGACCGAGCTCAGGCGCAGGCGATGCTCCATGAGGTCCTCGAGGGCCGAGTCCAAATCCAGGCGCTGTGTTGTGGGGTCGCTTAGAACTGGGAGAAACGCCATCTTCGTCAACATATGGGTCATTGGGATTTTGTCCTGGCCCAGGCCATTTGCCACCGGGTCCCTGCGGTTTGCCGTAGGGACTTTTTCCACCGGGGCTACCGGGTGCAAGAGGTCTACCGTCAGGTCCAAGAGGATTACCGTAAGGATCCTTTCCGCCTGCTCCACTAGGTCTACCGCCAGGACCAAGAGGATTGCCGTAAGGATCTTTGCCACCCGGGCCTAGAGGTCTACCATCAGGCCCAAGAGGATTACCGTAAGGATCTTTGCCACCTGGTCCGCCGGGCCCTAAAGGTCTACCGTCAGGCCCAAGAGGTCTGCCATGAGGGTCTTTGCCACCCGGACTACCGGGCCCAAGAGGTCTACCGTCAGGCCCAAGAGGGTTACCGTACGGGTCTTTGCCACCCGGGGCTAGAGGTCTTCCATCAGGTCCTAGAGGTCTTCCATCGGGTCCCAGAGGGTTACCATAAGGATCTTTACCACCCGGACCGCCGGGGCCGAGAGGCCTACCGTCAGGTCCAATAGGGTTGCCGTAAGGGTCTTTGGCACCCGGGCCTAGAGGTCTTCCATCAGGTCCAAGAGGTCTACCATAAGGATCTTTGCCACCCGGGCCTGGTCTTCCATCGGGTCCCAGAGGGTTACCGTAAGGATCTTTGCCACCCGGGCCTAGAGGTTTTCCATCAGGTCCTAGAGGTCTACCATACGGATCTTTGCCACTCGGGCCTATAGGTCTTCCATCAGGTCCAAGAGGGTTGCCGTAAGGATCTTTGTCACCCGGGCCTAGAGGTCTTCCATCAGGTCCAAGAGGGTTACCGTAAGGATCTTTGCCACCTGGGCCTAGAGGTCTTCCATCAGGTCCAAGAGGGTTACCGTAAGGATCTTTGCCCCCTGGTCCCTGAGGGCCACCATGAGGACTTCGTCCACCAGGCGCGGTATTATACGGTTTCCTCGAATCGGGAGTGATTCCATCTTCGTCAACATAAGGATCATTCAAATTTTTGCCTGGACCAGGCCATTTACCGCCTGGTCCCTGTGGGCCACCAGGTCCTTGAGGCTTACCATAGGGATCTTTGCCACCCGGCCCGAGAGGTCTACCATCAGGTCCAAGAGGGTTGCCGTAAGGATCTTTGCCACCCGGGCCAAGAGGTCTACCGTCGGGTCCTAGAGGGTTGCCGTAAGGGTCTTTGCCACCTGGACCACCGGGTCCGAGAGGTCTACCGTCGGGTCCTAGAGGGTTGCCATAAGGGTCTTTGCCACCTGGACCACCGGGTCCGAGAGGTCTACCGTCGGGTCCTAGAGGGTTGCCATAAGGGTCTTTGCCACCTGGACCACCGGGTCCGAGAGGTCTACCGTCGGGTCCTAGAGGGTTGCCATAAGGGTCTTTGCCACCCGGGCCAAGAGGTCTACCGTCGGGTCCTAGAGGGTTGCCGTAAGGGTCTTTGCCACCTGGACCACCGGGTCCGAGAGGTCTACCGTCAGGTCCAAGTGGGTTGCCGTAAGGGTCTTTGCGACCCGGTCCACCGGGTCCAAGAGGTCTTCCGTCAGGTCCAAGAGGGTTGCCGTAAGGATCCGTTGGTGAGAATGGCTTGCCTGATTGAATGTTAGGCCGTTGGCCTGAAGGAAGTAGTGGTTCTCCAATATCGGGTTGGTCGCCCGATGGTGTGCCATAGGGACTTTTGCCAGGTGGGCCATAGGGACTTTTAACTCCTTGTGGGCCATCTGGTGTATGTGGACCACCAAATGGTCTTTTACCACCGGGACTTTTAGGGTCACCAAATCCCTGTGGTCGCCCATAAGGATCCTTTCCTCCAGGTCCAAGGGGATTGCCATATGGATCTTTTTCACCCGGTGATAGAGGGTTGCCGTAAGGATCTCTGCCACCCGGTACAAGAGGTTTGCCATCTGGTCCAAGAGGGTTTCCATAAGGGTCTTTGCCACCCGGGCCGAGAGGTTTGCCGTCTGGTCCCAGGGGTCTGCCGTATGGGTCTTTTCCACCCGGGCCAAGAGGTTTGCCATCTGGTCCAAGAGGGTTGCCGTAAGGGTCTTTGCCACCTGGGCCGAGAGGTTTGCCGTCTGGTCCCAAGGGCCTGCCGTATGGGTCTTTTCCACCCGGGCCAAGAGGTTTGCCATCTGGTCCAAGAGGGTTGCCGTAAGGGTCTTTGCCACCTGGGCCGAGAGGTTTGCCGTCTGGTCCCAGGGGCCTGCCGTATGGGTCTTTTCCACCCGGGCCAAGAGGTTTGCCATCTGGTCCAATAGGGTTGCCGTAAGGGTCTTTGCCACCTGGGCCGAGAGGTTTGTCGTCTGGTCCCAGGGGCCTGCCGTATGGATCTTTTCCACCCGGGCCAAAAGGTTTGCCGTCTGGTCCAAGAGGGTTGCCGTAAGGGTCTTTTCCACCAGGTCCGAGGGGTTTACCATCTGGTCCCAATGGTCTTCCATACGGATCTTTGCCTCCTGGTCCTTTTCCACCAGGGCCTTGGGGTCCTCTGAAGGGATCTTTTGAACCCGGTCCTCTGCCTTGTGGACCCTTTTTCCCAGGTCCATGCTCCGGAAAAGGTTTATTTGGATTGTAGTTTGGACTCAAAGAAGAAGGAGTGATAGGCTCATCAAACTCGGGGTCTTCTCCGGGTTTGTTTGGGTCTCTGGGGTCAAATGGTTTTTTCTGTTGAAAGTTCGGTTTAACTTTCGATGCAGCAATTGGATCATCAACGAAGTCTGCATCGTCGTCGCTGGCCTAAGCGGTTCAAAAAAGTGTGCCAAAATACACAACAAACAACAATTTCAAATAAACCTAACTGAGAAGAAACGAAAACCTATCAGCGTTCAGGAATGTGAACAGGAGTAAATTTGCAACCGACAAAAGCCTCCCGGAAAAAGTCAAAAACTCAAAAAAAAAACGTTTTCTAAGTTCCAACAAAAAAAGAACTGAGCTGCTTCAGCAGAGAAAACTCCAGCTGCCTTTTTCCGATTAAAACATTTATCTCAGATTTGGCAGAGTAGTTTTTCAGAAAATTGAAGTTTACAAAACACGGGCAAAACTTCAAAATAAATTGTCAATTTAATGAGGCGATATATTCAGAAATTAGGGCAAATCAGATGTGCAGAGAAAGTTTGCAAAACCTGTTTTTTCAATCTCATTAACTCGGGTTTGGCAGGGTGTTTTTCAGAGAAGTCAGAATGTTTTTAAAAAAAACGTTCAAAATTTCTAAATTGGCCAATTTCTATGGCAATTACATTTTTACATACCAAAAATTGAGCATAGCCATTTACCAATGAGAAATCCTAACACTGGTTTTTGCGATTGGATCCTTAGATTTGGCAAGGTAGATTCAAGAAAATGAAAAGTTTCCAAAAAACGATTTAATTTTCAAAATTTGAACATTTTCCAGGTTCCAACACCAAACTTTTTCTACAAAACTAAAATCATAGCAACTTATGTATGGTTCACCCTCGAAAAAATTTCTTCTATTTAATCCCTAAATTTCACTTTTGGCAGGGCAGTTTCCGAGACAAAAACAAAAGCATGGGTAAAAAAAATCCAGAAAATTTCGAAAGCTGAAGACTTTTCAACAGCAACTCAAAAAAAAATCAGTTTCATATATTATATATCCCATATATTTTCATCATACCTATTTTTATCAAACAAATACTAGCCACCAATAAACCAGATACCAAAACAATGCTATGCAGCAAAAGTAAAACAGATAAGAAAAGCTAAAGTGTCATTTTTACGAGCACTTTTTTGCGACTATGTTTAAAAAAAAAAGCGGATACTGTGAAGACACTACACTCCGCTTCAGAAAAAACCGTTGCTGCATCAATTCTGGTAACTAGCTACATATCAGAGCTTCAGGAAAAAAATATTCTTAAGTTCATTTTGAAGGTGATAACTTTGTTTAGCCAAATAGCAAAAATTTCATTTTATAATTTGAATGAAAATTATATAGTTTCTAAAACAAGATTTCTTCAATATTTCGACAATATTTCAACAAAAAAACGGTTTTGTTATTGGCCGTAAATTCAGTCGGAACATGAAGGGTTTTGCTTTGATATGTGAGCCGCCTTGTTACAACTACCTCTCGTAATTGAAATCAATCCAATGGAAATGAAGAGCCAACTTTTTCTAACATTAGTTTTCAAAAAAAACGCAATTCAAATCGGATTGAACATTTGAACATCCCTTGGCTGTCCAATTACACACTGAACATGGCAGTCAATTACGCCATTTTAATTTATCGTTCAAATTTCCGAAGAAAGTGTCTAAATGTTTGTGCTCATCAGGGTTTCTTTCTCCTAACAAATTTTGACTTTTGATCAACCAAATTTTTGATGGAATTTTTACACAGAGGCGAAACTGAGCTTCGCACCACTTGCAATACAAAAACAGAAAACCAGTAAGTTGAAAAAAAGTGAATTGAAAACTCTGCAGCAAAATTCTCGCCACCTATTTCTTCGACTAAAATCTCAATCTCAGATTTGGCAGGGTATTTTGCGAAAAAATCAAAAAGTTTCCAAAAATTGGTCCCAAAAACAAACTTGACTCCTCCAAATGCTATAAATTGTTTCTACATAAATAAAAGCGTACCAAATTATTCAGCAAAAATTTATAAAATTTGTTTTTCCTATTGATTCTGGAAGAGTGATTTTTTGAGAACAGTCAAAAAATTTCAGAAAAAAATGGTCAACGTTTCTAATTTTTGACGTTTCACACTGCGCACAAAAATGAAAAAAGTTGCTAATGCAAGGAGAGTTTTTGAAACCGTTTATTTCGATTAATGTTTTGACATCAGATTTGGCAGAGAAACTTTCGATAAAAGAAACAAAGTTACCAAAAAACTACCAAAAACTCAAACAATTTTGATTTCTCCGAGAACTAAACATATTGTCTAGAGAAAGTAGAGAAGAGCCGCTTATGCTGAAAACCTTGTCATAACCTTTTTTCTAGATAAAATTCGAAAGTCAAAATATGAGAGGGTAGTTTTTGAGAAAAATGTGAAAACTTCAAAAAATATATCTTAACTATCAAAAATTTTTTGAGTTCTCAACCTTTTTTGACTAAAATTTGGACGTAGACGTTTGTTGTAGAATTTACTACCACTACTTGATCTTAACATTGAAATCTTAATCTCATATTTGGCACGGTTGTCTGAGAAAAAAATTCAAAAAAATGAGTCAAATATTCACCACGTTTATCTTTTCGAAGTTGTTTGAAGGTAGAGTAAAATTAGAAAAAACTAAAAATTATGCAGACAATTAACATAAAAGCCGGTCTTTCATTGCTGCCAATTTTTCACAGTGAAGAAGAGGTCAAGAAAAATTAAAACTTCAGCGATAGTGAAAAAAATTCCGAAGCGTCTCAGAAAATTCAGGAAATTTAAAAATACTAATTCATAACACCTGATTGTCTCCAACAAAAAATTTTTGCGCTCGAATCTTGCAATAACACTTAAGCCGAAACCGTTCTATGAAAAAAAATGTTTTTTAATTAAACCATTTAAAAATCAGACTTGGAAAACCGAACCAGACTTGGAAAACCCAAGTTACAGAGCTTCCAATTTTAAAAAACTCTGAAATCAAAATCCATGTTTTACCAGATAAGCCAATAAAAAACAGTACAAAATAATACAAATTCAATTTAAAATGGGAAATCAAACCGATGGAAATTCAGCCAAAAACCACGAACCCGAAAAAAAAACTCAACCTTTTTTATCGTGAAAATGATTTCAAAAAAATTAACCCCAGAAGTTGACTACATCAATTTACTACCTAAACAAAGGTAGTTCCCTTCACTTTTTGAAATGAAATTGAGCATTTCATGAAATTTACCATTCATACGAAACTGACCATTCTGTGAACAGTCTTATTTACGGGGGAAAAAACTAAGTGTCCGATTGCAATTCCTTTGCTTATTGTTGTGCTGAGATCAAATTTAAACACAGAAGTGAAGCTGCGCTTCGCAAGCATATGCAAGAACACGACCAAAAAGCAGCTCTATCAAATTACATACAAAAAAAAAGAAATAAGCCTCGAATTTGCAAAAACTCGAGGCTTGGCAAAAACTCCAATTAGCAAAAATCTGCGACCTAGCAAACTTGAGTCTCACGCACTAATCATTCAGCCACGGATGCTTAAAATCCCCAAAAAACTAGCCACCAACAACGCAGCTACATTTGCTAAAAAATTGCCAATTCGATGCAGCAAAAGTAGCAGCAAGTACAAAAAGGTACAATTTTGCATGTAGTAAATTGCAAATCATAAAGCCACATTATGCATAAATTATGCATTTCAAAAAATTGCGAAATATAGTGAGAACGAAAATTTCTGAAATCGGGATTTTTTTTATTGTTATGTTGTTTGGAACAATAAGCTTCCTTCGGTTCACTTGATGAATTAAAAATGCATTAACTGTATAAACTTATAACTTTCGAATGTCAAAGCACATGTTAAGCTGTAAAAGTGCAACAAATTACCAATCATTTTGTATTGCCAATTCGATGCAGCCAATATTGTTGCTTTAAGTCGCAATAAAGTTCGAAACAATATTTGCGACTTAGATTGTAAAAAAAAAGAAAGTTTAAACTATAACACATTGCTTCACAAGTGTAATCAATGATTTGCCCTAAAGTGTAAATGACCAGTCGCAAAAGACCTGTGATGATTTTTCGTAAAGTTGGGGGAATTTAATTATTGCTATTTTGGCCAACTTGGGATAATTAAAGTAGGATATATTTTGTGCTAACAACGAGTAATCAGAGATTTAATCCTTCTTAGAAATCGTTCTAAAATGAATTGATCTACTTTTTGGTCTACTTAATACTTTTCTTCGTGCAAAACATATCACTTTCTACTTTACATAGCGTTTGAGAGTTAAATACAAAGGGATATTTTTTTCAATAAAAATCAAAAATAAATGTTTTGAAATTGTCATCGATTTTTAAAGCGAATACTAACAATTTTCCATAAATCTGAAAATGCAGCCGGAATATTCAGCGCTTCGCCCTGATACCAGCAGTCTAGTAATGTCTGAGAATCCGCTGTAAAAACCTTCGCTGAAATTTTTGGCTTGCATCGAAAAAGTAGTAAAAGCATAGTCTGTTTGCACAGCACTAACCGACTTGCTGTTTTCAACACTATCGATTTTGCAAAACAAGTATTGCGTCCTAAATCACAAAAAAAGTTGATAAAAGCATGTAATTTATACGTACCAAAACTTTGTATGGCGATCCCTTGACGTGGTTTCCTCCAAACTTGACGTTGAGCTGGTAAGTGCCGACCATGATGGGTCTGAACTTGCACTCGTAAAGCTTGGCGTTCGGAGTCTGTACTTGAGACACATATACAGGATACCTGCGTCCGTCGGGTCCGTCCGCCGAGCAGGTGATGTTTCCGAGACCTCCCTTGGTTGCATCGACAGTAAAAGGATAGTCCACGTTGACAGGTATGATTTGCTTGATTTCTAAAATTGAAAAAGATAAAAATATTTTGCTGTTAGCCTTAAAATTATCTCAGCTTTGCCGGCATGCTTCAAATTTAAGATTGAGAAGCAGACAAAAGCATGGCTGGAAATAAACACAAAACTTACCAGGTGCTATGACTTCAGGCGCGTTTCCGGTGGGTTGCGACTGGATTGTGAAAGGTGACTCTGGTACCGGCTGGCCTCCGTAGACAACGCTGACATTGTGAGGTCCCACGTCCTCCGGCACCCAATGCACAGTGAAGGTAAGGTCATCGTTGTCGGAAACATGGATGGGAAGTTCCCTGTTCTCGGGATCCTGAAAAATAAAAGTTGCATAAATCAAAGAACCATCAAAATAAAAGTAAATATACGTAAATACGCAGCAGGATTAATGGTTAAATTTTGCCGCGAATCAGACGTCACATCTGAAGATCTGCATCAATTGAACATGGCCAATAGACAGTTTTGGCTTTCGAGTTTCAAATAGGAAAATATGCTCTGAAAATTACTGACAAAAAAAAACAAAAAAATAGAAAAATTCATTTGCTTTATAACGTCTTAACATTTTGAATCGCGAAAATTTTATTTGCCAATGAAATTTTTCGTGAACTCACGTTTTTCTATTTTTGGCAGCAACGATTAAAATTATGGTACTTACGGTAACTTCGCAACGAAGAGGCGCCTCTCCTGCTTCAGACGCATCCACGAAGAATTGTTGCGGCTCACTTGCCAAGACTGTCGCCGGAGTGTCTACAGTAGGAGATCCTAGAGGACTCCTCGGATCTTTCTGGGGTTTCAAGCCAAACACCTTGACCTTTTTCGGGTCGGGTTTGTTCAGCAACGCGTGCTCGCTCGGGTAAATCATGGCATGGAAAGGCGAGTCCGGTATTAGTTCGTCTTCGTATTTGATCGTTATGTTGTACTCGCCCGGTTTTGTCGGCAGGTACGCCAACGAACAAGTGCCGTCTTTGTTGTCCTTGAATGTCGTCTTGGCTTCGGAGGGACCCTCGATGTAGACTCCAAGGGATCCAGGCCCCGCATTTTTGCTGTAGACTGAAAAAAAATAAACATTTGCCTTTTTTCTTCTGGTTTCGTAGAAACAAACTCCAGCTATGTGAGCTCAACTTAATGTTTTCTGCTACTAGTACCTTCTACGAAATTGCAGTTTGTAACAATAAATAGAATATATGTTTTTCAATTTGAAATGATGCTGTTTTATTCATGCAAACTTAAATTTATACTGTACGACGTCAGTTTTTTTAAATAACTTGTTCTTCTATTTCTGCCTCAGTTTTTTTCCAAAAAGAGCCTTTTTGCACTTCGCGAAACTTCAGTTAGCAGAAATGTTGCCAATTAGTAAAAATTGTTTTTACAACAAGCTATTGAAAGGTTCAGGGAAATAGCTCGCTTCATCCCTCTTCTCCTCTGAAAAACAAGGGAAAATATCATCTTTCTATTTTTAAATGACCGCTGCCAGAAATCGTTTTTTCTCGCTTTTATTTTATTTTTTTTCGTCTAAATCCCACGCTTTTGCTTGCGTCAATGAAAATCGCTGGAATTTTTTGATTCTAGTAAATGTCACCAAGCAAATTCCAAAGCTACAATTTGTGATGAGAAATTACGCAAGGAAAAAATTTACGCATTGTATGATGTCAAAAAGAACGTCCTACTCAGCCTAAACAAATTTAAGAATCAGCCAAAAATTATTAAATTGATAACGTATTGAATTAAATTATTAAATTGATTTATGTAGAAAAATCGGCCGTTTTGGCCATCGTCCACTAGAACATTACGGCTAATTTAGTAGTTTCTAGTTACTTTTCTGAGCACTCCAGTAGCGTTTATAACTTAGGAATGTGGAATAATTATCAAGCAAATCAGATATGTTTGTACCTGTAAAGTAGGCTTCCTTGTTCATAACTCCCTCTTTCAGACCAGGTCCGTCTGCGTACACTCTGGTGGCATCTCTACCCTTGATGGCGTTGATCTTGAAGGGACTGTCGGGGATCTGTGCTCCCTGGTACATGACCTCAATGCTATGAGGACCCATCTCCTTGACCACGTATCTAGAAACAACCAAAGAGTCTACCGCAACTTATCGCAACCATTATGGTCCAAAAAATCTTATCAATTACAAAATTGAAAAAGAATCAACATATTTTCAGCTTCACATTGTTAATGTTGTGAGTTTTGGGAAAGTTTTGTAAAACGTTCATGATTTACAAAACTTTCATTCAAAGCATCAGCCAAGGGCTTGCTGTTTAATTATTTAACTAAAACTATGCTCTAATTTCAATAGTCAAACTAACCCCACTTCGTATGTTCCATCTCCTTTAGGCTTGACCTTGGCTGCAGTCTTTCGTCCCGAGGGAGCCACTATTACTACCTTGACCTCTTCGTTCCCCACACGAGTTGGCTGGCCTGAGGCGTCCACGAGGAAATCATGGAAGCCATCAATGAACACATCTGCCAAGGAGAAAAAAAAACTATTTTATCCACAATTTCAAGGAATTCTTTCGTCTTAACTGTCGAAAGTTAAACTTTGAGTTAAAAACCGATCAGTTTAACCATACGCGCATCATGCAAATGGATCCCACACATCATGCACAAACGAGATTTCTATTCTTCAACAACGCAAAACAAAAATTCTTAAATAAATTCTAAGACACCTATAGACTGTGTTTCTCTTATAACACAAATTTTCTTCAAAAAAAAATCCGTAAGAGTTACAGTAGATTTTCATGAAACATGCAAAAATTAAACTGGTAATTTGAGTGGTTTATTGATAATTCGATTAGATACCTGCCCAAAACCTGTGAACTCTTATGGCGCTGACGTCAATGAACGGTTTCACTGTGACTTTCACCGGACTCCGGGACACATTTTGTCCCCCATACTTCAACACAACTGTGTGATTCCCCTGTTCTTGGGGCTGGTATTTCAACAGATACACTCCTTCGTCAATCGCCCAAATAGACGATGGAATTGGTTTAGACATACTACCGTTAGGTCCTATGATTTCATGAGTCATCTCAGCTTCTCCCGCCTCTGAACAATCGATTCGAGCCTCGGCCCAGTCGTAAACCCGAACATTTCCGCTATGCAGACCTTTACCCGAAATTTTAACTCGGCTCGCATCATACTTGGCGGTAACAATTGCCTTAAAAGGAGACCCATCAATATGTTCGTCGGCAAATCGAACAGTGATTACATATTCGCCAGGAAGAGTAGGCATGTAGCTGATTCGGCACAGTCCTTTTGAGTCGTCTTTACACTCAATGTGTGCCTCGGAAGGACCCTCGATTTCCAACCCCAGAGCTCCCGTTCCGGCTCCTCGAGTGTCCACGTTAAACTCAGCTGGATGATTCACTTCTCCACCGGTTATTCCTGGACCGTAAGCCCGAACACGACCAGGGCTCGCGCCGATTGCCGAGTTAATTCCAACTTCGGTGAAAAGCATATTTCCGAAGTGAATTGAAAGTGTATGAGGACCTTCTTCGTCTAGAGCAAAATTGACCAAATTCGTCCCCGGAGGACCCGGTCGAAGGGCTGCTTGAATCGTTCGTCTCGCTGGTGTTTTGATCACGACTCGCGGCGTCGGCAAATCGGCATTCGGATGATGTCGTATCTCGAACTGCTCAGTAACGTTGACTTTAACAGCTAATGAAAACAAATCGAAAAATGTCAGAGAGGAACTTTCGTCTAAGAAACCGTTCTAAAGAATGGAAGGCATCTTATGTTAGACTGGAGATGGACAGAAGACAGGAAAGGAGAACTAAAGCTGACATGGACGAAAACTTGATTGGACGAAAGAAGAACGATTTCAGACGGGTTACACAAAGAAGAAAAGCGCTGGCCGGACACGTAACGAGCAGCCGACAAGTATACAATGAGAAATAGGTTTGCAGATGACATATTTGAAATGTTTAAACATGGTGAGATGGTGTATGAATTCAGTTAGCAAAAATATATTGAAAAGAGTGATTACTTAAGATTTCAGAAAAAGATTTGAAGTCAGTTAGATGTTAGTGTGGTATATCCTAGATTTAAGATGCCCAAATTAAACGCACACAAATCGCAGTCATTATATTCAAATTGGTTGTCACAAACAAGAATTAAAAAAATAACATTTTACGTGCAATGAAAGACGAAAAAATCAACAGTAATATTTCCCGAATGAACATGAAAAATTTGAACACTTTTAATAAAAACGCATTGAATCAAGACGCAAATATATTATCTGACTGCAACTGAATTTGGTTTTTTAAACAAAAATTTAAAAAATAAAAATCGGTACTTCATTGCAATCAAATGCGTCAAATTGCGATATAAAAATAGTATATCCCTCTCGAACCATGGCCATCTCTTGGTTATGAATAGGTTAATAATCAAACGGAGTGTACTAACTTGGCTCGAGGTTGAGAACTTTCACATCGCTGAGATCGTAACCGGAGTCGACGAAGACCTGGTATGGCGAATCAGCGACTGCCACTTCACTCGAGGTCACATAGATAGTGTGCTTTTGACACTTCACAGGAACATACGTCACCGCAAACTTCGGAGGAGATTGCTCTGAAAAAAAAAGATTATCAAATAAAACAAACTTTTCGCTTGGTTGACTCAACCAATTGACTCATAAGAATATTACAGCAAAGCTCCTTATATTTCTGAAAACTCATAGCTGAGCTTCATAGATTCGAGAAAAGAAGAGTTAGATTTCGGTAAAATGTTTCAGTTCCTCTATGAATCAATTTCAACTTACCCAATGGTTGTGCAGGCGAAGCAGGAACAATATCACCATCCCTGTCTACAATTAGCACATCCACCTTGGGCATCATTCCCATTGGCGTGTTTTGGGGGAACATGATTATTATAGTCGTCGACTTGTTTATCGCGTTGCCGGTAGGCGCAATGCCTGGACCACTGACCATTATCTGACCCGGATCTATTGGCGTGGTTTCGGCGTCTGCTGGAAGGATCTTGGCATTGAAGGGGGAGTCCTTGATATCCTGGTTGTTGCAGGTGATGTGGATGATGTAATCTCCAGGCACTGTGGGGAAGTACTTGGCACGGCAGCTGCCGTCCTTGTTGTCTTGTGCGTCAATTTGGGCTTCACTCGGGCCCTCGATCGAAAACCCTAAAGCAACCATCTCTAAATTTGAGCATCCGTTGCACCACGAGGTTTTAATAAATGCGAACTCGAAAATTAATTTCAGTCTATTTCAAAATATAGCCGACAACTTTTGTGATCTAACCTAAGTTTGCGTCTGGTTCGCCGCGTGTGTCCACGGTAAAGGCGGCCTGGTGATTCACTCTGCCACCATACAATCCAGGTCCGTATGCTATGACCAGAGTGGTTGTCTGCTTCTCCACTTGAACTTGGAAAGGACTCCGAGGAACATCCTTCGAGGAATCCGAAGATACTCCGAACTTCACGATTACCTGGGAACAGAACACATTTTAGCTATAGTTTGCGGCGTCCTGATAATGTCAGGATTGATCAAAAACCAAAAAAAAATCATTGCTAACTTTTGGTGCAGCCTAACAACTTTTAGAGGACGGTAAGCCAAAAGCCGCTGCCTCTCCACAAAATTAGACCAACTAAGCAATTTATGCCACGAGCTGGAGACAATAAAAGTTATCAGGATTTATTCGAATTTCGATGACACCCGGGTTCATTTTTTATCGCAGCCGAAGATATTGAGAAAAGAAAGATATCGAAGCAACTTGATGTATGTGTGAACATGACAACTAATTAATTTTCCCTTTAGCTTCATAGTTGCTCTTAGCTTCATCATTAGCTTATCTAATCAGTTTCAATTTATTCATATAACAAACTACGACAAAAATTGGGAAATTTTTGTATGCGCTACTGACGTATCTACACTCCAGAATATCTCTAATTATCTGACACGCGAGGAGTTATTACCTTGTATGGTCCGTCTATCATTGGCGTGTAAACACACTCGAACACTCCGAATGCCTTAGGTTCCTTTGAGCACCCAATTGGGGTACCACCTGGACCCAGCACAGTCACAAATAGGACTCCTTCGCCCGCGTCTTTTGTGACGCAGGTAAAAACTGCAGCTTCGTTCACTCGTAGTCCTTTCGGCTGGACTCCACGTCCACTCACAACCACCTTCTTCGGGTCGTTTTCTGAATTTAAAATTGGTGCTTATTGGTACCCATTTTTGATTTCACAAATTTCGTGTTCAAACATGAAAAAGTAACGATGAAAAAGAAACTGTCGAAATTATACAAAAAATACCATTTTTATAGGCGAACCGATTACCAAAGTAGCGTAGAAGACACCTTGGAGTCTGTTAAATCATTATCTTTCAGAATATGAATATAATTATCAAGCTTCGCTTTCACAAGAATAAAAATTGATAAAAATTTTTAGTTGCAAAAAATTTTGCAAATGTGTTGTAGAGTACTTTTACTCTAATCGATATCTCTTTTAATGTGTTGCTGTTAAGCTTACCTTAATTTTTGAACTTTTTTTTCTGTTTCCTCATTTGAAGACTTTTCTATTTCACTTTTGAAGATGAAACCATTAACGTAGTCGCTTGTGTACTCGGATCTTAGAACTTTCGCTAATAAATTGACCATTTCGTATACATGTAATTCGTATACATTTAATGCGCAACCAAAAAACGTTTACCTTTGGAGCTTAGAGTAGTTTTTTTTACCTTGCTACATTGGTTGAGCAAAGTTGAAGGTTTTCATTGGCAGTTCACAAAAACTTCAAAAAATATGTAATAACAAAAAAGAGCTCCAAACTAAAAATTTTAAGTCATGAGACAGCAAAATTGATCACAATTAAAACATGTTTTTAGATTTGACCAGGAAAACAGTATCGTTCTTCTGATATATCAAAAAAAAAACTGTCAAATTTTGATATTTACAAAAATCGAAGAAAAACACCCAAGCACAAATATTCCGTCACAATCTTCGAAAGTCAGAATGGCAAGGATTAACGCTTGTCAAAAAGACCCACCAAAAAATGTTTTTCAGCTTTTTTTAAAGGAAAAATTGGAGCTTACTACCTTGTATTTCTCAAATACGCCACACTAGCCGACATAAAAATAGAGAAAAACTACTGGAAAAATTTACTGAAAAATTACAAAATGTCAAAAAAATAGATCTACTGAACTTTTCAAGACTTGTATAGAAAATCAATTGTGAAAAAATTGTCAAAAAAGCTAGTGCATTAGCAAACAATACTTGGTTAGGGTCAACAGAACAGTGACCTACCGTAGAGTCTCCAACTAGCCATGTAATAACTTTGAAAATATTGTATCAAATTCGCATTTCAAACAATTCCGCAGGATTTTTTTTTGAAAAACCTCATTGTACGGAAAATAATTATAATTAGATAACGCAAATTTTGTTCATAATTATGTTTCGAAATTTTTTATTTTTAGGATCAAAATTTTTCAACAAAATCAATGTCTGAAAAGCCAGTGTTTTATCCCCCATTAATCAATTTGCTGGACAAAATTTACGGTTGATCCATTGAGTGATTATACAATGATTGAGCCGGTAAACTATTATTATCAAAAACAAACAATTTATGAAAAACAAGGGTAGCCGGATACTGTGCAAGTAGCACACAATGTTCCGATCATAGTCTTAGAAAAATACCAAAAAGAGAAAAATTAGTGTAACTTTTGTCTGAAGATAAAAAGACGTCTGATTAGAACTTAGCTATACCCGAAAGTCATAATAAAACATGAAAATCAAAGAGCACTTTTTGGAGAAAATATACAAGTTAAAAAGAAATAAAAGAAAAATTTTAGAATTTTTTTGGCGAAATTTTTTTTGAATTTTTTGAGTTTTTTATTCCCAAACTGGCACTTAAAGCCCAAAAACTGAATTCACTAGCGTAAAACTAATTTTTCAGGGCTTAAATTAAGCATAAATAAGCTATTGTAAGCCTGCTCGCTCGCTCAAAACTGAATTAAGAATCAAAAATTTTATACTCGTTTTTCTCAAAACTAGGAAAACTTTATGAAGATTTTTCAATGTCGTTCGAATCAGGATTTAAAAACTTTTATTTGGTATAGCACTCGATTCATTCCGATAATTGTTTGTGGTACCCCGATTTTGCGATGGAAAAACAAAAAAAAAACGCTCCCGAATACAAAGTTCCTCCCCATTTTTAATGGTCGGAAGAAGAAAACTAAAACACACCCGAATAAAAAGTTCCTCACCATTTTCAATGGTTGGAACAATAAAAATTTTTTAAAATTTAATCATGATCGGAACATTAATAAAGCTATCTCTTAAGATAACATATAGACCATATGGTAAGTCATTTTTGTTAAATATTGCTCCTTCAGTTTATGACTAAAAAGTCGAAAAAAATTGAAGAAAAGATTTAACGGAGTGATGATTTACAGAAAATTATTCATGTATAAATGAAAGGAGAAACTCATAAAATGCTCACTAGCTGGTTCTTTCAAGAATGAAGATCCCATGTTGACTGAGAAAGGACTTCCCGGAATATTTCGTCCATTGAAGGTGATCTTGATGGTATGCGTACCACCGACAGACGCCAAGTATTTCACAGTATAAGTTGTAGTGTTCTAAAAAACACCATTAAAATTTAGATAAAAAACGACCGGGAAACTCTTACCGATCAATGTAAATTAATTCCATTATCATGTTATTTTAAGTGTGAAGTAATTAAACGCACTGTGCGGTCCATTCGCATTTGTACTGTCTCGGGTCTTCCGTTGGGATCCGTAATGAAAACTTCCACATTTCCACTTCCGGCATCTGTGAACAACGAGGAATATTAAACTCTATATTTTAAAACAATATCTTTAATGAGGTATGCATTTTGTGAGTCTTTTAATTAAGAGCTGCTCTTTGTTGGATCCAAATGTCTTCGGTCCAAAAAACAAAAAATATTGGTAATCAATCACGAAACAAAGCATTACAATATATTTTAAGTATATTTTCAAAATAGCAGTTGAAATTTTTCCAAATAACCCAATTTATCCTGATTTTTCTATCCGGTCAGTTTGAAAACTGCACATCAACAGTGTGTGGAAGACAAGAATGAAGACTGTTATTTGTTCACACTTCCATTCACTTACTCTCCGTGAACACTTCGAAGAAAGTGGGCTGGGTGGCCTCCAGTCCATTCACCGCCAGACCTGGTCCCGATGCTGTGCACTTGGAGGCGTCTCCCACCACCCCCGCCACATTCACAGTGAAGGGAGAGTCCTTGATCATCATACCACTCCACTTCACCTCCACCTGAACAGAAAGCAGAAGAGTAATATGCGATGAGCACCCTTTTACTGTGCAAGTACTTGAGAAACTATCTAATTTTGTATTAATTGAGTAATGGGGCAAAAAACTAAAATCACTTTTTTAAGACAATCATTTTACAAATATTACTCAAAATGACCGAGAATCTGTTTTATTTTGTGTGAAAATTCCTTATTTAATTTTTTAAAAATTATTGTTTATGCTATCCTAACACGAAAGACAAAAAATAGCCCGTTGCTCTGGAAGTAGCAAAGAAGGTTTGCCCACAATGATTTCAAAAAATAACACATTTAAGAAAATGATACACAGAGGCGAAGCTGAGCTTCGCACTACTTGCGATACAAAACAAAAAAATTTTAAAAATTAAAAGGGTCGAAAAAACTGAATGTGGCTAATTTGGAATTAAAACATTCCAAGACAACCGAATGTGCTATAAGCATAGGAAGCTAATGTATCCAGCGGTAACAAAGCCGAAAACAACTTGTCAGAAACCCTTTAAGCCTAAGTAAAAAAAAATCAAGACTTCAGACTTCTAAAAAGTTAATCACTCCACCTCACCCTCAATCATACAAAAATATTTTTGCTTGTCAAATCAAACAATATGAGGCCACTAAGCCGATATAACATAAGCTGAAACCTAGTAAGCCCAAAAAGAAAATGAAAAAATCCGAAAAAATCAAAAAAAAAATTAACCCTAACAAGAAGTTATTAAGTCCCCCTCAACCTCAAAACACAGACATCCACACAAAAAAAAACTTTATTTGCTCGTCGAAAGACACAATATGAGGCCAATAAAATTATGTAAGATCGAGCCGGATAAAAAAGGAAAAAAAAACAAAGCCGGAAAAAAATTGTTATCATGAATTATTCTATTAAGAATTTTGGTATCTTGTGCGATCCAGAGGTGAGCATAAAAAATCTGTTTCCGTTGAAACAACTCAAATTAAGCCACTAAGCCGAAAAAGAAGAAGCCAAAATTTGGCAAGAAAATTTAAGCAGATAAAAATTTTGAGCAGAAAAAAGTTTTTAAACGAAAAAAAATATATAAATAAGTGAAGTCAAGCTTAGTAAAATTACAAACAGCAGAAGTAAATCAGAGCACTAAAAGCAACTATAATTGAAATTGGGGAAACTTTTTTTCGGTTGTCTTAGTATTTCTTTCTTTGTCATTTGTTTTCCACGCAAAATCAGGTACCAAAATTAATTATTGACATGGGTCGAGAGAAATATCGTTTTGAAGCCCTCTCAAGTCGTGATTCGAATGACATTTAAAACTTGTAAAAAAAGTCCCAGTGTAAAAAAAAACGGTTTTAGTCTCTCTTCCAGTGAATAAAGCTTGCTCGAAGTTAACTACTCGCTAAAAATAAGACAAACGTTTTCATTTAGGCAAAAAAAACCGGAAACTTCATTAGGCGCTTCCTCGGCAATAAAATTTCTAAAAAATTGATTGAAAAATGTTCGATTTTTTTTAAAGTTTATTTTGGAGACAACTGCAGAATTTTGTGCTTCATTCACTAACTTTCTACGCATTCGTATAGCTCGTTTATCAGACCACGCGCACAAAACGAACACTAACTTGAAAAAAAAAAAGAAATAGTCGGCGGCTATTCGTGTATTTATTCCCTGTTTTTTTTTTATAAAGGACGATTGAATAAAAATTAAAAAACGCAAGAGTGAGAGGTATTTATGGTTGAAATTAAGTTTCAATCGCAGTCCAAGAAAAATGATCACAATTTTTTCCTGAAATCTAAATCTTAGTGAAATTGTTTGTATAACGTATCTCATTCGACCCCGTACGATTTTTATATAGAAGATTCATCCGGGTAGAAGGTCAAGTGTGGCATCATATTGGAATAAAAATTATATATTCCGACAAAACCGATACTGAGAAATATTTGGACAAAAAAAACTCGGCAACTAAATTGCGGGAATATCTGTTTTCGGTTTAAAATATGGACGATCAATAATCGATGACAGTTGTTTTATAGTGCAATTTATACGTTAAAAAAAGTAATTTAAGTAATATTCTTTCGATTGATATTTTTTTCTTTTTGTTTTAGTCAGATTTTCCTAAGCTACTTGCACAACACAGCCTCTGGTTCTTCATGTTTTCTCTTCTTTTAGGATAAGATTTCAAATTTTTCGGCAATTTAACTTTGACAAAATGGTACTTTTTAAATGCCGGCTAAAATATCGTTAACACTTTTCGATATTCCAATCAAAAGATACTTAGAAAGTTGTCTCACCCGGTGTTGTCCTGCTGCCAGTGGAGTGTACTTGACAGTGTACGTCTTGTAGTTGTCATTGTTGAACACTACATGAGTCTGAAACCAGAATATGAGTGAGCAAATGAAAGATAAGGCCAGCGAATTTACTTTTTCAATGATTCAAGTGTAACTATTCTTCTTCGTCTTTTGAAATTAAACGAGAGGATGGTCAAAAATTCTGTGCGTAATAAATCCAAATTAGAGATGAAAAATATTAAATACACCAGCTATCTTGAGTCCAAAAACTCTTGGCTTCAGAAAATTTTCAAGAAATCATCTTATATGATATTAAGGAGCACTTGCTTCGAAATCATGGTAATCACGCTCATGTGAGCAGTTTAACAAAATGCAGAGAACTAAGATTTTACTATTCTCGAGTTCATCCTTCCGCACCTAAAATTTTCAACTTTGAATTGTTGTTGAATCGCAGAAAAATACATTATTGAATTGTCTACCCACCGTCACTTGGGTTCCCTTTGGGTCCCAGACCAGTGCCTCGACTGTGCCTTGACCAGCTCCGTAAGTCTCAATTGTGAAGTGAGTCTGCACATTAGCCACGCAGCCTTCCAGCTCCACCCCTGGTCCGTATGCCTTGGCCCTTTGGGGTTTGCAGAAGGGCTTCAGAGGCGTGTCTGGCTTGGGTTTGGCCTTGGGGAACTGTGACAAGTAGGTCATGACAGCCTTGTCGTCAACCGAAGGACTGATGATTTCCTCAGGTGCAATCAGCTAAAACTCACAACTTTAATCCATTATATGACATCAAACTTACATGAAAATAGAGACTACAACTATCCTCTAAAAAGTTCAACTTTACTTAATAATTTTTCGATGCTAACCAATTTGAAAGGAGAAAAACAATCGGGAAAAACAAATTAATCAACTATTTGTTGATGATTTCCCACCTTGCAACACGACGGGCTTCTTAAATTTCATTTACGTTTTCACGTGGCTGCTGAAGTGAACTAAAGTAAATTACAAAAACTTGATGTCACCTTAGGCACGTCGAGGTAAGTCTGGGCTAGGTCCATGGCCTTGTCTGCGTTGTCATAAGCGTTGTTTGGGTTCCACTCGTCCCAATCAGGGCACAGACCTGTGAACAAAAAAAAACATTCAAAAGGAATGAAAACAAATCACAGACAAATTGCATAGGGGAAGCAGTTTAAGAAAAAGCATTCACCGGCTTTAAACGAACTGGAAAAATTAAACAATGACACGTATGAAATTTCATCAACACAAATTTTAACGAAGACAGCATTCGACAATCGTCCAAACTTTAATTTATGCGGTTCTTTTATACCACAATGCCAATTTATAGAACCGACCCTAAACCAGTACATCATGCAGTGTATATATTATGACCCACAGCAGTCGGGATCTGTATGAAACATTTACCCTCTTCCCATTTTACCCGGTTGTAAGGAGTTGGTAATGGCGGCCAGGGCCAAACCAGAACCCCATTCATCTCTCTGGAAACCCTGGCACTCTTCGGGGAAGTCTTCCGAAGTCAGGTGATTGTTCACCCAGTTTAGCAGCCTAGAAACGATCTAAGGGCTAGTTAGTTATAACTAGTTATGCGTAGTCTTACCAGGTGCCTTGGAGTCTACCAGGGCTCCCAGTTTGGTTCCGTCGTTCCAGTCCTTGTTGAAATTGTTGATTTTGGGACCGGCGTAGTGTCCGGTTACGTAATTGTCCATCCATTTAAGCAGCCTGAACAAATCATGCAAACATAGTCTAAAGAGCCCGCGCCACTATCTTAATAAGTTTAAAACATTTAAACAGAAGAAAGATGAAAGGTAAGGAAACTGTAGAACTAAGAAAAAAAGTAAGGAAAACAAAACACCATGTGGAAGTCTTTTTCCATGCTGATACAACTCTGGCTCTCCAATTTTAAAGAAGTTAGGTGGACAGTTGTAACAGAGGCGTGAATATCTTTTTTAAACAAGTTTCTCTAATTAAAGCTAGTGTTAGCTCTTTTTTAGGCTGAATTTTACTTCTCACTCACTGTCCAAAAAGATTGAAAAAAATGTATTAGAGGTTATCATAGGAAGCAACTGTGCCTTTTCTTTACCGTGTGCAGTTTTAAATGCTCCTCTCTTAAATTCAATTTGGCAGTCAAGCGATTATGATGTTGATGTCTGTTTCAGCGGGAACTCAATTGTAATCCAGTCTATTTTTTGCAATTTTTGTCTCTTTTTCTGACCCCCCCCCCCAGCTGCGAATTTGTTAAAATAATTTTTTTGATCAAAAAGACCGATTGTTACAAAAGATGGCATGCGGACTAATGAGGAAACAGAGTCAGTTTTTGTTAGCTGTGTTACCTCTCGCGACCACTCTTGCTCTGTCCATCTAGGTCATCCTCGTCATTCCATCTGGCGAGTGCAATGGAGTAGTGGAGAATGAGGGCCCAGATGAGAGCCAGCACCAGCTTCATGTTACCCGCATTGATGTGGGAACTGTCTATAAACACAAAGACAACAAATAGCTATAGCACAATAAGAAAACTAGAATTTTCGGAACTCAACTTGGCTGATTCGTAATGATTTTTAAGCTACTTTTCTTGATTTTCGTATTGGTTAAACTCTTGTGAGAGCAAAAATTTTAAAATTTATTAAAAATAGGACAAAAAAGACTTCTCGTATCAGGGCGAAGCCCTAAATGTTCGGACTACCCTTTAATTGGTCTCAGATGCTGCGTTGAACGTGTTATAAAAATGCATATTATTGCGTGTTAATAATCCCAAATTAGCCAAAATAGCAATTTTCAAATCCTTTGATTTAACAAAAATGATCAAAGGTGAAAACTTTTTTTAATTTTAGCTCAGGATACATGTTTTTTAAAATTTCCGTCAAAATTGTTTTCTTAAAAAGTCGAAAATTGACTGAATAATAAAACCGGCCCAAGCATAAATATTGTTTTCACTTAAGTTCGGAACAAAACAAGACTGCTCGTATCAGGGCGACGCCCTGAATGTTCCGACTGCCTTTTAAGGTTTTATGGAGCAGTAATAACATCAAAAAAATGAATGTAATAAAACAAAAAGAAAAAAACTTTTTTCTTAAGTTTGAAACTTTTTATGAAAATTATCCCCCCACACGCCATATAAAGTACAAAAGGATAGATTTCACTCCTTGTAACAAATCAATTATGGCGAATGAGTTTCTTTCAACTAACTTGGAACAATTTTAAGACGGATTAACTCTCCGCTTACGCGTTAATAGCGCGAAATATATTGCGCGTTAATTGTCCCAAACTGGCCGAAATGGCTATCTTTAAACCCCCATAACTTTACAAAAAATAATCACAGGTGAAATATCTTTTCAAATTTGAGCTCAGGACAACAATAGCTTTCGAATGATATTAAAAAATTCCGTCAAAAATGGCTAGTTAAAAAGTCGAAATTTGTCTGAAGAAAAAAAAACCCACCCCGAGCACAAATATTCCGTTACTTTCGTATCGAAAGTCGGAACAATAAGGAAATTTAGAAGTCATTGAATTCTAGTGTTCTTTCCCAGTTCATTTCCATAAAATGATTAAAACTAAATATGGGCATCTCCAATTTTTGTTCAGAATTTTGATACGAAAGTAACGATATTAGCATAACAACAAAAAATTGAGAATAGTTAGGGAAAAAAGCCAAAAAAGAAACAATTGAACGTCAGAAATGTAAACCATTTCACTTTCATATAACACCCTCTCAAAGTGTGTTTCACTAAAAATTGTCGAAATGCTAATATTGAGAGAATTGTTGAACATAAATTGGTATTAAGTTTCAATGATTAGTTTTAGCAGTGCTTCATTAGTCAGCTTATTAAAAACATATGGAAATATCAGGTTTAGAAACGGAATAGAAAACAAAATTATTAGTTGAACGAACTTGAAAATAGATGAAAAAACGGCTCCAGTTTTACAGAATTGTTTTATGACAACCAAGCAGAAAAGTTTTCTAAGCAAAAGAGGCCTAAATTTTGCGAAAAGTCAGGGGTCCGCATAATGAAACACAACGAGAAAGTTAATTTTTTTCCGTTCGGTTTCAATTCTCGGCAATTGATCCTCGCAAATTTAAGTTTTCTGCTTGCGTAGCTTTAATTTTTTTTGTAAGAAGGGTTGTTTTTTTTTAGTTTTTGCTTAAAATTTAATTTTTTTGCTCAACTGCGTTTTCAAATTGTCCAAGTAAAACAAAAATGGAAATAAATTTTCGCCAGCTCCTTTCTGTTTATATTCGCAAACGCTTCAACTTTTTTAAACAGGGGCGGCGCTGCACTTGGCCGAAAAAAGTTGCTAAAAACTCAAATTGAAGAGTCGTTATCGAGATTACAACACTTAAGTCCTCGCATTTGCGCCATGTTAACTTGACAACCGAGAAGCACTAGCCACCAATATAACAGATAGAACAGACGCTATCAAATTGCCAATGCTATGCAGTAATCAGCATTTCTTAGCAAATTATATTGGATAAAAGGTGTTTTCCTAATAAAACACTATTCTCGCCAGCTCTTTTGTACGAAAATAAACAAAAAACAAAAATAGTCCGATGTTGTGCAAGTAGCATAGAATCTTCATCAGATCACAGTGAAAAAATAAATTTGTTTTTATTCAATTGTGTCTGTCGCGTTGGATGGCGAGAAAACTAACGCAAGTGAATAAGGCTGAACCTAAAACAAAAATTAATTGAAACGAAAACTTAAAAAGTGATTTTATTTTATTTGGACAAAAGCTTGCAAGATTTCTGAACCTAAATTACTGCTTTGTATTTAACAAACGTTAATCCATTTAAGTCTCAAGAATAGCTAAGTCTCAGGCACGTATTTTCATCACTGAAAAATTAAAAAAAAAACTATTTACAGGCTAAAAAAGCGTTAATATGATATAGCACTTGACCCACTCCGATTAACATTTGTGGTACCAATTTTGACGTTGAAAAAGAAAAACAAAAACATATAGGAAAAATAAATAAAACCCGGAGACAACGCCACTTTCTACCTATTCTAATGATTTTGTAATTGTGGTTCATGATTGTGCGTATTGCTGTGCAAGTAGACTCGCGTTCCGACCGTATTCTTAAAAAATTTTATAAATTGTTTTTTGTTTTAAAAGAAATATGAAATCATTTCTTCAAATTTGTGTCGTTTTTGTCCGCGCGTGTTAGAAGTAAGGCATATTCTAAAGTCATAGACAGTCAATTAGAAAACATTTTTCGAAATTTTTGCATAAATGTTTTTAAGATTCCGAAGATCGCTCTAAAACACTTCAAAACTAAATTAACAGAAAAAAAACTAAAATTTCAAGGATTGAATAAAGTCTCGCGGCCTATCCTTTTAAAATTTTAAATTACGTTCCAATCACAACTGAAAAGACTTCAAATGCTATACAACACGACTCATTCCGATAATTATTTGTGGTATCTAATTTTGTTTTGTGGTTTCTAAAACGAAAAAAAAACTAAATTAAACCCCAAATACTAATTTATTCCGTATTTTTAATGGTCGGAACGACAAACACATCCGAATAAAAAGTTCTTCCCCATTTCCACTAGTCGAAAAAAACTAAACGGCTGAAATAGACTTATTCATTTTTTCCTTGACTCTTAACTTGAGAATAATCTTTGAGTCAACCAACCAGCCCAAAATCAAAGGGTTTCAAAAGGTTTTGTGATTTTTCTTGTGGCTTTTTTGGAAAGAACCATGTCAATTTAGTTTTTTAAATCAAAAAGCCCGGAGGCCTCACGCAAATATTAATTAGTTAGGTTGAAGATGAGCACAAAGTAAATGTGGCCATAGCAAGCTATGACTTGTTTACAAGTAAGTCATAATAAAATATGAGCTCGCCATGCAAATTGCAGCGCATGTGCGATTTGAACCAGCAATTATATGATTGCTCGGTCCCATCACTACCGGAGTACAAAGGGTTTCAAAACGATGCTGGCCTTGTGTTTTTTTTGGACCAGGTCAAGTTAGTTCAAATGGAGTTTGGAAAGTTTTCAAGGGAAAAATTGAATTTTTTTTAGCATATGAGAAAAATTTAACAACCCCTGTGTTCACAAATGAATTCGTGGAATAAACTAACCAATGGTGACTAGGTCAATGTTCTCTCTCTTCAGAAAGTCCAGTACAGCTGTTATGTTGCCCAGCTGCTGGATCGTAATCCTCGCCTTCTTTGTCACTCCAGATATCTAACAAAGTATCAGTTTTAACGCATAGAAGGTTTTGGATATCTATAATATCACTCAGATCCAGTAGCGGACTTGGGGAAAGGGATTAGTCGTTCCCCTCCGGAATTCGACCCTCTGACCACCTAAAAGGTATCTCTTTGGTGTCATTTTAAAATATATACTATTGAAAGGTGTGCGCTGAAAATAAAAACAATTTTTTTCCAAAATTTTCCAAATATAGCTTCGAAAATGGCGCTGTTGGGCTGTTTTTTTTAAGTTTTGACAAAATAGGGAGCTCGATTGAATATCATTTTAGTTGACCAAAAATAAGAAGCAAACATTTTCCGCTGTATCCATCCTCCTAAAAAATCCACGGCCTCCGACTACCCTTTTCAATTTAATTAAGCGAAGTTAGTCCGCTATCAAAACAAATCAAAGTACACACAGAACACAAAGTGCAAAGTTAACCATCAGACAATTTTTGAAAACGAACTATAATCGCAGCGGAGGCAAATCAACTAGAGAGATATACATTGGCTAAAAGTCGAAAACACGGAGCCCGTAAAATCACGCGAAAAAAAACACCCTCGCGCTATTTCCTTTACATTATATTCGAATAGATAAAAATAAAGGTGGCACCTTTTTATCTGCAAGTACTTCCACCAGTCTGGCAAGTTTGATGCCGTCTTTGAAGTCTGTCTGTAGATTCATCACCACCATGTTCGCATCATTGGTCGCCTTCAGTTTCTCATTCACCCACCTGGTGAACGTGTTCTGCTGGATCTTCTTCCAGGGCGCATCCTCGGACAGTTCTCTCTCCGCCTGGAAAGAAAACTCTCGTTTAAGAAATGAGACAAACAATGCTTAAAAATCGTCTGAAGATATAATGGTAAAGAAACAATGCTTAGAAAAATGCAACTCTCTGAAACAAAAATTTTCTCGTATCTCCATTCTCACTCCTTTTTAGCTATTTCACAATTTTCAAATTTCTAATTTTGTTGTAATCATTCATGTTTAGATGCATTTTTTGCAACACTGTTTTAGAAACGATTTTAAATTTTCAAACACTTTTCTTGAATGTTGATAAAAACTTGGTCTATGTTCTAATATATGTGGTTTAAAAAATAGCTTGCAACTTCATGAAGATCTAATATGATTGAAAATGTGCTAATAATAACACTGCGCGATAAATTAGTTCGGTTAAGTCTTGAAACCGACCTGCATGAGTCGCTCTTCGTCGTACTCGTCATCATCCTCTGAGTCGGGGGGAATGTAGGGCTGGCCCGCGTATTGAGGGGGCACCGGGTACTGGGGCATCGGGTGTTCAAAGTGGTGGGCACCCCCCGCCTGCTGACCCCCATTCTGATGCGAATTGGGGTCGTAGTACTGCTGCTGATCCATCACTCGGTTCTGTAGATGTCGCTCTAGAAAAGGTTTGAAAGTTGCTGCCGACCTCGGAGTCGTGTCGTTCTCCGAGTGCTCGGAACTGTCGCCTTTAACACTCGGAGGAAATCGGATGCTTTTTGGCCTCCGAGGCAAAATCTCGGAGACTTCGCGATAAGCCATAGTTAGAAAATAACTCAAAGTCTATTTCTGTCGTAAATCAGTTATGAAATTTCTAGAAGTAAATATCTTTTATTTTTAGTTTTGTGATGCTTTTCGATTTCAAATTGCCTTTTCAAATATATATAATTACTAGGAAAAAGTTCGGACAGACAGAATCATTCAAAATGAGCATTCAATTAAGGATGGCGTTTTTTTTCTGCATGCAAAAGCTGGTTTTTGCAGACTGCATTAGTGTCTCATCTCAAGGTTGCTTGAAAGTTCGAATTGGTATGCAAAGTTTGTTCAAAATTGGCGGATTGCTCTTTTTAATTAATTTTCTCTGTTCCAACTTTTTGCAATTGTCCGTAGCCTGAGAACAAGTAATAACAGGAATATGCTGGAAACAAAAATTTGGTGGTGTCTTTGATCGATCTCAGAAAGAATTGAAAAGGCACATCTCCATTTTTGATTCGGTTTTTGCACCAACGCTGCGCGCTATGCTTTTATGTTTTAAACTAATCCGCTGTTTTTAGTTATGAAAAAAAAAGATTTTTGACTTGTATGAACAGCGGCATCCAGAAGCTAAACACAGTTACCAATATTCCGTTTTGGCCTCGTTTTGCACAAGGAATAAACAAAACACACCATATGTTTAACTTACATTTTGAGTTAAATACTTTTTGTATCGTTCTTAAGATATGATGAATAATGGAATCACTGTTTTGAGATTCCTCTTATCCTAACACTATGCTACCAAGTCTCTGTTTTGAAAAACTTGATTGATGTATTTCAAATGCTATAGATGGATTATTGCTATTGGAGACTCTCAGATGAAATTTACACCACAATGCTACTTTGGAAAAGATCACGTTCGTTTTTAAAATGGGCTGAGCAAAATGGTGTCTTCATATTGCTAGAACAGAACTCGAAAAATTAAATATCTAGACCTTACAACGAAGTCAAATCGAAAATTTGTCAAAAACCCCCCTCGAGAAAAGAGCTAGACCCGACCCTTGATAACAATATTAACGTTTAGTCGGCCATCATTTGAAACTCGTTATAAGCAAAGCTGTGTTGCTACTCCGCTCTATAACTGATTAAGGAAATATCGATACTGTCCAAGAATATCCTTAACATAAAAAAATCCCTTCCCTCCTCCATCTTGCGCTGATTTCTAAGTCAAATTTTTAGGAAGCGTCCTATTAAAAACATCCCGCCTTACCTGAGGTTCGAGTGTTGGGCTCAAACTGCAGATTGCTTAACTGATAAAAGCACATAAAACACTTACCTTCGCCTCGGCCAAAAAGTTTCCGTAGAAAGAACAAATTTAACTGGATTGCGTAAACTGAGATCCAAGTTAAATTCCTCAACTAAAGGTTCCTCAAACAGACAACGGAACAAAATACCGCTGCAGGTAAATTAGAGCAACGGGCGCATTTCTTTCAAGCCCACTTTTGCAGAAAACGGGTTGCGAAAGGGAAACTAAACATGGAATTGTTGAATGCGGCTAAATATTGTTGTGAGTTTAAGTCTAAAACGGAGACCTTAAATTTGTCAAAGATAAAGCATAGCAAAAACGAGAACTCAAACTAGTTTCCATAACTTCTCGAGGAATGTTTCAGCGCTTTATTTAGTATTAGCGTCATGTATAGCCATTGGTAGTTTTGGTGCGATAAGAAACTCTGTTTAAATTTGTGCTCCCTTTGAATGTTTAAACTCTTTAAAATGTAGCCACAGAAACCAGGTCAGCAGTACGTTAGATCTTATATACATACATGCAGTATTATAAATGGACATAAAGACCCTCCGATTCAAGTGACAAAAACTCTCTTTACCAATTTCACGGCCAGCAAATAGTGAAAACGAGTTATTGGTGGAACGTTTCTGTAAATCACCAAGCTGGTATTAAATTTTACAGGAGTCCTATGCGCTAATTACCCCAATGGTAAGACTGCCTTGAAATCCTTGGACCTCAAAAGGGAAAGAATAAATGTGAGGCGTTCCTTCAAGACTCTTGCGACCTATCTACCTTGGTAAGAACGTATACGGGCGCAGAATATCGCAGAACTAAAAACTCCGAATTCTTTAACTCAGTAGACCATGAAATCGAGAATACGGAAGCATATAAATTTGAAGCAGACTGTTTTTTATTATCTTGAAAGTTTTATTGCTGAAAATCAAGTACGTAGCTGCTTATGCACGTGTTTTGCCATAGAGAAAATGTTATCTGGTTTTCATAGAAATTTCATATACTTGCATCAGAAGCAAAGCGGAGCTTCGCATCACTTGCAATACAACGCAATCGTAGCTTTCAGAAAATGAAACGGGAGCAAGTCGAAAAAAAAGTTGTAAAAAATTGATTTTATGCTGGAAAAAATGAAAATATCGATTTCAGAAAAACAGTCGAGAAACACAAATGCCAATATTCAATAAGCTTTTAATGTTTATCGAGCGGCAACTAAGCCGAAAATAGGCGAACAGACACCCGTTGAAATGAATACAAAAACAGCCATACGAAATTGAGGTCATATAAATTTTTGAGCGATTAAGTTATATAACTTATAAAACAGTTTTTCAAAATGATTATCAGCTTTGCCGGCTCTTTTTCCTTCCCCCCCCCCCCACCTCACACAAACATGAATTTTATAGTCTAACGAGTGGTTTTACAAAATTAATTATGAAGACCAAATATGTTTGATATGGCCTAATCAGTCTGCATGTCATTTTTCATGACAATTGGACAAAGTGAACAGTAATTTCAAATTGAAAAATTTGCAGGTGGGGGGGGGGGGAAAGGAAAAAGAGCCGCTTTGCCCCCCAAACGACACAAAGTAGGTTGGCTGAGCCGATCAACTTTATCTTGAAACCATATAGACTGAATAAGGCTTTAAGGCAAAAAAAAATTAAAAACGGAAAATATACGAAGTCAGGGTTGGTAAGTTTATTATATGCAAAAGTAAACCAATGACACTTGTAACTACAAGGAGAAGAGCTTACAGCTAATCTGTAAGGGGCCAACTTAACCAACAAAACATAAACAGACAAACACAATTTCATACATACTGAAAAAACAAAATCTCCGACTGTGACTCGAACTTCAAACTCTAGTGCACAAATGCAACCGCGTTACCTCCAGACCAACCAAGTAGCAAAAACAACTGATAGGTTCAATATAAAAGCAAATTGATTTTCCGACAGATTTGCAAAAAAGTTATTTACGGGAAAAAAGTGGAATTCCCGATTACGATACAATTGCTCTCGCAAGAGTACAAATCATCAATGACATAACAGAAGCAAAAACAGTCACAAACCGAGTAACAGCTTTACCAGGTAATGTTGACCAGATAAATCAATTTTTTCATCAAAGCTGTTGTCGAGAAAATGAAATCTAAATATGTGGGGGAAAAACAATGTTTTTGTTCGTTTTTTAACAGTTTTTGTATGGCAAAAGTTACTGACTTTAATGTGAACCTAATCTAGAGCAACTGTATAGCTCATATACAAAAAGTTAAAATGGTCACGCATTAAATTTTTACTTGCGTAAAATTATTAATGAACCTTTGTACTCGATCTTCGTCATTTGCCAGTTTATGTTCAAAAAGCAAAAAAAAAGAAAAAGGTAAGCCGGTTAATGTGTAATTAGCACAAAATGATACGACTACCGTAATCAGCGTGCTTTGAGGTACCGACTTGGTAAAGCACAAAACATACCCTATGCCGGTATTCAGTACCATCCCATCCCAAGAAGGGTTGGAGCTAGAAAATAAGATAGATAAATCGCCTCAAGTGAGTTCTCTTGGGTCTAAATGGAAATCAAACCAGGTTGCAAACTTATTCAGACGCTGTTTTAAATAAAAACCTTTAAAAAATTAAAAAGTAAGCAACAAAATGCGTAGTAGAACTTTGCTTACAAATTAATACGAAAACTTAATTTGTTTTTCTTGCAAAGACAAATGGAATCAATTGTAACCGATTGTTGTGCAAATATCACAGAAAGCTCCGACTTAGATAAACGTTATAAAAAATGTTTTTTTTAATTGTTTTCAAACTTGTTCCGTTTTTCCGTTTTTTTGCGTGATGTGATGAGAGAGAAAACACCAAAAATAGGAACGTTGCTAAATTACGTTTGCTGAACTACAGTTGGCTTCAAAAAAAGAGTATCAAAACACAAAAAAAACTTAATTTAAAAAAAACAGCGCCAAGACAGCTTCTAAAAATTCTTTTTTTGAGTAAAACTGCGTTTTTTCCTTTTCCCGGCTCAGATAATATTTGACTTTTAATAAAACCTGCTCGTTTAAAAAAAGGCTTAAAAACGACGATTACGCTCCACGCTGGCTTTTCTTCTCGATTTTTTAGTTATTTTTCTAAATTTAGGTCGAATCAGAAACGAAAAAACTAAAATTTGATATACCACTATATTTCTCTACCTTTTGTGGTCATTTTTGGGGTGAAAAATGTGAACTTGACTTAATGGGGGAAAAAAGTAAATTGAAACTCCTGAAGACAACTTCTTCCCGGTTTTCAAATTAGATTTATTTCTTATTGCGTTGTTGACTTTTATTGGGAGGGCAAAAGACAATGGTTAGAAGAGGCTTTCAAATTTCTGAGCATTCTGTAATATCACAAGAAGCGTTCTGTAAACATTTTTCGCTTAGCTAAAAAATTCCTTCAGATTTCTTCCGTTTTCACAAATTGTTTATCAAAGCCAAAAAATTTTCGGACTTAAAATCTTGCTTCGACAAGCTTCAATACCATTCGTCACTCGATCATATTGGACGTTTAGTTAAGGTTCCTGCACTTTACGTTTGAAGAAACAAAACAGCTTGTACAAACATCAATCAAACAAGGCAAAGTTACATTTTGTAAGCGCAAGAAAAAGGTTAACAGAACATTAACTAATAAAAACCCATAAAATATGAAAATTAAAAAATATATTTTTTCAGTAATA